CTGCAGGCTGACTCCCCTGTCATTACCTCCCGTGGCCACTAGTCCACTCGCACTGCAGGCTGACTCCCCTGTCATTACTTCCCGTAGCCACCAGTTCACTCGCACTTCAGGCTGACTCCCCTGTCATTATCTCTCGTAGCCACCAGTCCACTTGCACTGCAGGTTGACTCCCCTGTCACTACCTCCCGTGGCCACCAGTCCACTCGCACTGCAGGCTGACTCCCCTGTCATTACCTCCCGTGGCCACCAGTCACTCGCACTGCAGGCTGACTCCCCTGTCATTACTTCCCGTGGCCACTAGTCCACTCCACTGCAGGCTGACTCCCCTGTCATTACCTCCCGTGCCACTAGTCCACTCACACTGCAGGCTGACTCCCCTGTCATTACCTCCCGTGGCCACTAGTCCACTCGCACTGCAGGCTGACTCCCCTGTCATTACTTCCCGTGGCCACTAGTCCACTCACACTGCAGGCTGACTCCCCTGTCATTACCTCCCGTGGCCACTAGTCCACTCGCACTGCAGGCTGACTCCCCTGTCATTACTTCCCGTAGCCACCAGTTCACTCGCACTTCAGGCTGACTCCCCTGTCATTATCTCTCGTAGCCACCAGTCCACTTGCACTGCAGGTTGACTCCCCTGTCACTACCTCCCGTGGCCACCAGTCCACTCGCACTGCAGACTGACTCCCCTGTCATTACTTCCCGTGGCCACTAGTCCACTCGCACTGCAGGCTGACTCCCCTGTCATTACCTCCCGTGGCCACCAGTCCACTCGCACTGGAGGCTGACTCCCCTGTCATTACCTCTCGTGACCACTAGTCCACTCGCACTGCAAGCTGACTCTACTTTCATTACCTCCCGTGGCCACTAGTCCCTTCGCACTGCAAGCTGACTCTACTTTCATTACCTCCCTGACCACTAGTCCATTCATACTGCAGGCTGACTCCCCTGTCATTACCTCCCGTGACCACTAGTCCCTTCGCACTGCAGGCTGACTCCCCTGTCATTACCTCTTGTAGCCACTAGTCCATTCGCACTGCAGGCTGACTCTACTGTCATTACCTCCCGTGACCACTAGTCCCTTCGCACTGCATGCTGACTCCCCTGTCATTACCTCTTGTAGCCACTAGTCCATTCGCACTGCAGGCTGACTCTACTGTCATTACCTCCCGTGACCACTAGTCCCTTCGCACTGCAGGCTGACTCCCCTGTTATTACCTCCTGTGGCCGCTAGTCCACTCGCACTGCAGGTTGACTCCCCTGTCATTACCTCCCATGGCCACTAGTTCACTCACACTGCAGGCTGACTCCCCTGTCATTACTTCCCATGGCCACTAGTCCACTCGTACTGCAGGCTGACTCCCCTGTCATTACTTCCCATGGCCACTAGTCCCTTCGCACTGCAGGCTGACTCCCCTGTTATTACCTCTTGTAGCCACTAGTCCATTCGCACTGCAGGCTGACTCTACTGTCATTACCTCCCGTGACCACTAGTCCCTTCGCACTGCAGGCTGACTCCCCTGTCATTACTTCCCATGGCCACTAGTCCATTCGTACTGCAAGCTGACTCCCCTGTCATTACTTCCCATGGCCACTAGTCCATTCGTACTGCAAGCTGACTCCCCTGTCATTACCTGCCATGGCCACTAGTCCACTCGCACTGCAGGACGACTCCCCTGTCATTACTTCCCATGGCCACTAGTCCATTCGTACTGCAAGCTGACTCCCCTGTCATTACCTCCCGTGGCCACTAGTCCCTTCGTTCCCCTGTCATTACCTCCCATGGCCACTAGTCCACTCGCACTGCAGGCTGATTCTACCATCATCACCTTAATCCCAGTGGAGTGGTTTGCACTACCGGCTTCATCCTCCTCCCTCTGGAGAGTCGCAGCCGGCCGCCTCGGTTGGCATCTGGCGTCGGCTCTGGCCGGCACGGAGTCCGCCCCGTGCGTGCTCGCTCCGCGTTTCCCCTTCCTCGTTTTGGGGGGCTTGGGGTGAGCGGTGGGGGGAGGGGGGGGCTTGGGGGGGGTAGAGAGGGAAGTGAGGCATGCGTGGTGTACGTGTGGGAATGCATGCGTGACACACTGATAGTCGCCCGGCCCCCAGGGCTCGACCCCGGCCTCTGGGCGATGCAGGACCCGTGACCCTGACGTGACCCTGATGCGACCCTGATGCGACCCTGATGCGACCCTGATGCGACCCTGACGTGACCCTGACGTGACCCTGACGTGACCCTTGACCCTGACGTGACCTGACGTGACCTGACGTGACCTGACGTGACCCTGACGTGACGTGACCCTGACGTGACCCTGACGTGACCTCTGTGTCCACACCTTCTGCTTCTGCTTCTTCTCGGATGGCATGTGAGGGGATTGCAACGGGATGACAAGTTGATGTGGAGAATCGATGTGGCACCAGGCGGCTTGGTGAGTAGCCGCGCGCGGGCGGGTTCGTTTCGGATCGCTGGTGAACGATCCGATTCGGCTGGGTGAGGCCTGGGCTGGGTGAGACTTGGGCTGGGTGAGTAAGACTTGGGCTGGGTGAGACTCGGGCTGGGTGAGACTTGGGCTGGGTGAGGCTCGGGCTAGGTGAGACCCGGGCTGGGTGAGACATGGGCTGGGTGAGACTTGGGCTGGGTGAGACCCGGGCTGGGTGAGACTCGGGCTGGGTGAGACCCGGGCTGGGTGAGACTCGGGCTGGGTGAGACCCGGGCTGGGTGAGACTCGGGCTGGGTGAGGCTCGGGCTGGGTGAGACCCAGGCTGGGTGAGACCCGGGCTGGGTGAGACTCGGGCTGGGTGAGACTCGGGCTGGGTAAGACTCGGGCTGGGTTAGACTCGGGCTGGGTGAGACTCGGGCTGGGTGAGACTCGGGCTGGGTGAGTCTCGGGCTGGGTGAGACTTGGGCTGGGTGAGACTCGGGCTGGGTAAGACTCGGGCTGGGTGAGACTCGGGCTGGGTGAGACCCGGGTGGGCTGGGTGAGATTTGGGCTGGGTGAGCCTTGGGCTGGGTGAGACTCGGGCTGGGTGAGACTTGGGCTGGGTGAGACTTGGGCTGGGTGAGACTCGGGCTGGGTGAGATTCGGGCTGGGTGAGACTCGGGCTGGGTGAGACCTGGGCTGGGTGAGACTCGGGCTGGGTGAGACTCGGGCTGAGTGAGACTTGGGCTGGGTGAGACTCGGGCTGGGTGAGGCATGGGCTGGGTGAGACTTGGGCTGGGTGAGACATGGGCTGGGTGAGACTCGGGCTGGGTGAGACTTGGGCTGGGTGAGACATGGGCTGGGTGAGACTCGGGCTGGGTGAGACTCGGGCTGGGTGAGACTCGGGCTGGGTGAGACTCGGGCTGGGTGAGACCTGGGCTGGGTGAGACTCGGGCTGGGTGAGACTTGGGCTGGGTGAGACTTTGGCTGGGTGAGACTCGGGCTGGGTGAGACACGGGCTGGGTGAGACACGGGCTGGGTGAGACCCGGGCTGGGTGAGACCCGGGCTGGGTGAGACCCGGGCTGGGTGAGACCCGGGCTGGGTGAGACTCGGGCTGGGTGAGACTTGGGCTGGGTGAGACTCGGGCTGGGTGAGACTTGGGCTGGGTGAGACTCGGGCTGGGTGAGACTTGGGCTGGGTGAGACTTTGGCTGGGTGAGACTCGGGCTGGGTGAGACACGGGCTGGGTGAGACACGGGCTGGGTGAGACCCGGGCTGGGTGAGACCCGGGCTGGGTGAGACCCGGGCTGGGTGAGACCCGGGCTGGGTGAGACTCGGGCTGGGTGAGACTTGGGCTGGGTGAGACTCGGGCTGGGTGAGACTTGGGCTGGGTGAGACTCGGGCTGGGTGAGACTTGGGCTGGGTGCGCTAACTCGCTATTACAGCACTTGCCCCGGCAGTCAGCCGAGGCTACACGGGGGATCTTTGCCTTTGCGTGCGCCAACTCGCTATCACAGCACTTGCCCCGGCAGTCAGCCGAGGCTACACGGGGGATCTTTGCCTTTGCGTGCGCTAACTCGCTATTACAGCACTTGCCCCGGCAGTCAGCTGAGGCTACACGGGGGTTCTTTGCCTTTTGCGTACGCCAACTTGCTATCACAGCACTTGCCCCGGCAGTCAGCTGAGGCTACACGGGGGATCTTTGCCTTTGCGTGCGCTAACTCGCTATCACAGCACTTGCCCCGGCAGTCAGCTGAGGCTACACGGGGGATCTTTGCCTTTGCGTACGCCAACTTGCTATCACAGCACTTGCCCCGGCAGTCATCTGAGGCTACACGGGGGATCTTTGCCTTTGCGTGCGCCAACTCGCTATCACAGCACTTGCCCCGGCAGTCGGCCGAGGCTACACGGGGGATCTTTGTCTTTGCGTGCGCCAACTCGCTATCACAGCACTTGCCCCGGCAGTCAGCTGAGGCTGCACGGGGGATCTTTGCCTTTGCGTGCGCCAACTCGCTATCACAGCACTTGCCCCGGCAGTCGGCCGAGGCTACACGGGGGATCTTTGCCTTTGCGTGCGCCAACTCGCTATCACAGCACTTGCCCCGGCAGTCAGCTGAGGCTACACGGGGGATCTTTGTCTTTGCGTGCGCCAACTCGCTATCACAGCACTTGCCCCGGCAGTCGGCCGAGGCTACACGGGGGATCTTTGCCTTTGCGTGCGCCAACTCGCTATCACAGCACTTGCCCCGGCAGTCAGCTGAGGCTACACGGGGGATCTTTGTCTTTGCGTGCGCCAACTCGCTATCACAGCACTTGCCCCGGCAGTCGGCCGAGGCTACACGGGGGATCTTTGCCTTTGCGTGCGCTAACTCGCTATCACAGCACTTGCCCCGGCAGTCGGCTGAGGCTACACGGGGGATCTTTGTCTTTGTCTTTGCGTGCGCGTGCCCCGCGTGTGTGTGGCGGCGGTGGTGGTGGTGGGCACGCGCTCGACAAAGCGACAACATCGCCATGGAGACGGAACCCAGCCGGGCAAAGGTAAAGGTGCCACACCCCACCCACCCACCACCAGGTAGCCTGACAATGACCGTTGGGCCAAGTGCTGCTAGCGAAGGCCGGGCACGTGAATGTGACCTTTGACACGCGAGGAGCCGTCGTGGGGCCGTGACCCCCCCCACCCCCCAAGGGGAGATCACACGGAGACGGCGCAGACCCACGGATCCTACTAAATCCCACGGATCCCACTAATCCCACGGATCCCACTAATCCCACGGATCCCACTAAATCCCACGGATCCCACTAATCCCACGGATCCTACTAAATCCCACGGATCCCACTAATCCCACGGATCCCACTAATCCCACGGATCCCACTAAATCCCACGGATCCCACTAATCCCACGGATCCCACTAAATCCCACGGATCCCACTAAATCCCACGGATCCTACTAAATCCCACGGATCCTACTAAATCCCACGGATCCCACGGATCCTACTAAATCCCACGGATCCCACGAAATCCCACGGATCCCACTAATCCCACGGATCCCACTAAATCCCACGGATCCCACTAAATCCCACGGATCCCACTAAATCCCACGGATCCCACTAATCCCACGGATCCCACTAAATCCCACGGATCCCACTAAATCCCACGGATCCTACTAAATCCCACGGATCCTACTAAATCCCACGGATCCCACGGATCCTACTAAATCCCACGGATCCCACTAAATCCCACGGATCCTACTAAATCCCACGGATCCCACTAATCCCACGGATCCCACTAATCCCATGGATCTCACTAAATCCCACGGATCCTACTAAATCCCACGGAACCCACTAATCCCACGGATCCCACTAATCCCACGGATCCCACTAAATCCCACGGATCCCACTAAATCCCACGGATCCCACTAATCCCACGGATCCCACTAAATCCCACGGATCCCACTAATCTCACGGATCCCACTAATCCCACGGATCCAGTGCGATCCCACGGATCTCACGGATCCCAGGGATCCCACTAAATCCCACGGATCTCCGTGCGATCCCACGGCTAACGGCATCGCAGTCGACGCGAGCGGAAAGTTTTTTTTTAAAGTGTGGGAGGGAGGGGAGTGGTGGCGCAGCGGTTAGCGCCGGGCTACCAACCGGCACCGCGCCCCGACGCACGCGCACAGGTGGTGCACACGCGTCGCGCGCGCGGCGTCGCCATGGCGACCAGGTGACTACAGGTCACGGCAGGGAACAGCGCCCCTCTATAGGTACGCGCATGCCGAGATGCGTGACACTGAGAGACAAACAGAGAGAGAGAAGCCACGTGAACTAGAGAACACACGCAGGGCTAGAGGAGACACCACCACCACCACATTGATGTTCATCCAGCAGTGGATAGAGGATGGTGATGACACTGAGAGACAGACAGGGAAGCCACGTGAACTAGAGAACACACGCAGGGCTAGAGGAGACATCACCACCACCACATTGATGTTCATCCAGCAGTGGGTAGAGGATGGTGATGACACTGAGAGACAGAGAGAGAGAGAAGCCACGTGGACTAGAGAACACACGCAGGGCTAGAGGAGACACCACCACCACCACCACCACATTGATGTTCATCCAGCAGTGGATAGAGGATGGTGATGACGCTGAGAGACAGAGAGAGAGAGAAGCCACGTGGACTAGAGAACACACGCAGGGCTAGATGAGACACCACCACCACCACCACATTGATGTTCATCCAGCAGTGGATAGACCAATTGTTGACCCCCCCTCGGTATTTCCGCAATGCGTCCGCAGTCATCGCATTCCTCTTCTGCTCGAACCAAAAAAGACGAGAAAGACCGCAGGGAATGCGACTCGTGGTGAAGGTGACAGTAACAATGCTGCTGCTGCAGCTGTAAACTTGTGGTGTGAAGCCACCGCTTTAGAAGGTTCATAATCAGTTCCGGATTATAGTAGTAGCACAAGTAGCTACTACTACACGTGTAGCTGCTACTACACGTATAGTAGTAGCTACTACACGTGTAGCTGCTACTACACGTGTCGTAGCTGCTACTACACGTGTCGTAGCTACTACTACACGTGTCGTAGCAGCTACTACATGTGTAGTAGCTGCTACTACACGTGTAGTAGCTGCTACTACACATGCCTAAACAGCTTTTGTTCGGCCGGATCGAGGGGGCTAGACGGGCGCGGCACGGGCTGGAGAAGAGATGGAGTGATGTGGTACAAAAGGACGTGGAGCTGAGTGGACTTGCCGATGACTGGTACCAGCGGTGTCAAGATCGGCCTCAGTGGAGGAGGCTCGTGAAGGACGCTACTGGGCAGTTGGAGGCAGTCGCCCTCCAACAACAACGGAGGGCGGAGGAGCGACGCTCACAACAACGAGCGGAGCGCCGGGTGGCTAAAGCACAGCAAGTTGGCACAGTAGGGGGCACAGGTGGTGCATCAGCCAGTCATCTCGGTCATCTCGGTCAGTCGACCAGTGGCACCTGGGTCTGCCCCGTGACCTCCTGCCAGCGGGCTTTCGACACTTCACGTGGCCTCAAGGTGCACTTGGCCTGGCACAAGCATCGTGGTGACGTCACCGCCACTTAGTGGCGAATGGCGGTTGTTGTTGTTGTATGTCTGTGTGCGTGTGGTGTGTCTGTGTGCGTGTCTGTGTGCGTGTCTTTGTGCGTGTCTCTGCGTGTGTCTCTGTGCGTGTGTGTGTGTCTGTGTGTATGTCTGTGTGCGTGTGGTGTGTCTGTGTGCGTGTCTGTGTGCGTGTCTTTGTGCGTGTCTCTGCGTGTGTGTATGTCTGTGTGCGTGTGTGTGTGTGTCTGTGTGTATGTCTGTGTGCGTGTAGTGTGTTTGTGTGCGTGTCTGTGTGCGTGTCTTTGTGCGTGTCTCTGCGTGTGTCTCTGTGCGTGTGTGTGTGTGTCTGTGTGTGTGTGTGTCTGTGTGTGTGGTGTGTCTGTGTGTGTGATGTGTCTGTGTGTCTGTCTGTGTGTGTCTCGAGTGCGAGAGCGGTAGTGTAGCGGGTATCGCGCTCCGCTATGAACCCAGCGACCCGGGTTCGATTCCCGCTCACGGCCAACACCAGTGACGATTATTTAAACCGGTCCTGTGGCCTCCCTTAGGTCAACTCAGCCTCAAATGAGTATCTGGTGCGGTGTGTAAACGTCGCCACTGGGGAGACAAAGGCGGCCGGGCGTGGTGCTGGCCACCCACCCCTTCGTGCGCCGTTCTGTTAAGGCTACACGGGGGATCTTTATCTTTGTTTATCTCAGGGGTCCATAATGGTCGTGTCGGAGACCATGAGAGGCTAGGTTCAAGCCCTGGGTCTGAGTGTCTCAGGGGTTCACGATGGCCGTGTCAGAGACCATGATGGGCTAGGTTCAAGCTCTGGGTCTGTGTGTCTCAGGGGTTCACGATGACCGTGTCAGAGACCATGATGGGCTAGGTTCAAGCCCTGGGTCTGTGTGTCTCAGGGGTTCACGATGACCGTGTCAGAGACCATGAGATGCTAGGTTTAAGCCCTGGGTCTGTGTGTCTCAGGGGTTCACGATGGCCGTGTCAGAGACCATGAGAGCCTAGGTTCAAGCCCTGGGTCTGTGTGTCTCAGTGGTTCACGATGGCCGTGTCAGAGACCATGAGAGCCTAGGTTCAAGCCCTGGGTCTGTGTGTCTCAGGGGTTCACGATGGCCGTGTCAGAGACCATGAGAGCCTAGGTTCAAGCCCTGGGTCTGTGTGTCTCAGTGGTTCACGATGGCCGTGTCAGAGACCATGAGAGTCTGGGTTCAACTCCTGGGTCTGTGTGTCTCAGGGGTTCACGATGGCCGTGTCGTTGACCATGAGATGCTAGGTTCAAGCCCTGGGTCTGTGTCTCAGGGGTTCACGATGGCCGTGTCGTTGACCATGAGATGCTAGGTTCAAGCCCTGGGTCTGTGTGTCTCAGGGGTTCACGATGGCCGTGTCAGAGACCATGAGAGGCTAGGTTCAAGCTCTGGGTCTGTGTGTCTCAGGGGTTCACGATGACCGTGTCAGAGACCATGATGGGCTAGGTTCAAGCCCTGGGTCTGTGTGTCTCAGTGGTTCACGATGACCGTGTCAGAGACCATGATGGGCTAGGTTCAAGCCCTGGGTCTGTGTGTCTCAGAGGTTCACGATGGCCGTGTCGTTGACCATGAGATGCTAGGTTCAAGCCCTGGGTCTGTGTGTCTCAGGGGTTCACGATGGCCGTGTCAGAGACCATGAGAGGCTAGGTTCAAGCTCTGGGTCTGTGTGTCTCAGGGGTTCACGATGACCGTGTCAGAGACCATGATAGGCTAGGTTCAAGCCCTGGGTCTGTGTGTCTCAGTGGTTCACGATGACCGTGTCAGAGACCATGAGATGCTAGGTTCAAGCCCTGGGTCTGTGTGTCTCAGGGGTTCACGATGACCGTGTCAGAGACCATGAGATGCTAGGTTCAAGCCCTGGGTCTGTGTGTCTCAGGGGTTCACGATGACCGTGTCAGAGACCATGAGATGCTAGGTTTAAGCCCTGGGTCTGTGTGTCTCAGGGGTTCACGATGGCCGTGTCAGAGACCATGAGAGCCTAGGTTCAAGCCCTGGGTCTGTGTGTCTCAGTGGTTCACGATGGCCGTGTCAGAGACCATGAGAGCCTAGGTTCAAGCCCTGGGTCTGTGTGTCTCAGGGGTTCACGATGGCCGTGTCAGAGACCATGAGAGCCTAGGTTCAAGCCCTGGGTCTGTGTGTCTCAGTGGTTCACGATGGCCGTGTCAGAGACCATGAGAGTCTGGGTTCAACTCCTGGGTCTGTGTGTCTCAGGGGTTCACGATGGCCGTGTCGTTGACCATGAGATGCTAGGTTCAAGCCCTGGGTCTGTGTCTCAGGGGTTCACGATGGTCGTGTCAGAGACCATGAGAGGCGATGTTGAAGCCCTGGGTCTGTGTGTCTCAGGGGTTCACGATGGTCGTGTCAGAGACCATGAGAGGCGATGTTCAAGCCCTGGGTCTGTGTGTCTCAGGGGTTCACGATGGCCGTGTCAGAGACCATGATGGGCGAGGTTCAAGCCCTGGGTCTGTGTGTCTCAGGGGTTCACGATGGCTGTGTCAGAGACCATGATAGGCGAGGTTCAAGCCCTGGGTCTGTGTGTCTCAGAGGTTCACGATGGCCGTGTCAGAGACCATGAGAGGCGAGGTTCAAGCCCTGGGTCTGTGTGTCTCAGAGGTTCACGATGGCCGTGTCAGAGACCATGAGGGGCTCGGTTCAAGCCCTGGGTCTGTGTGTCTCAGAGGTTCACGATGGCCGTGTCAGAGACCATGAGAGGCTAGGTTCAAGCCATGGGTCTCTGTGTCTCAGAGGTTCACGATGGCCGTGTCAGAGACCATGATGGGCGAGGTTCAAGCTCTGGGTCTGTGTGTCTCAGGGGTTCACGATGGTCGTGTCAGAGACCATGAGAGTCTGGGTTCAAGCCCTGGGTCTGTATGTCTCAGGGGTTCACGATGGCCGTGTCAGAGACCACGATGGGCTAGGTTCAAGCCCTGGGTCTGTGTGTCTCAGGGGTTCACGATGGCTGTGTCAGAGACCATGAGATCCTAGGTTCAAGCCCTGGGTCTGTGTGTCTCAGTGGTTCACGATGGCCGTGTCAGAGACCATTAGAGTCTAGGTTCAAGCCCTGGGTTTGTGTGTCTCAGGGGTTCACGATGGCCGTGTCAGAGACCATGAGAGCCTAGGTTCAAGCCCTGGGTCTGTGTGTCTCAGTGGTTCACGATGGCCGTGTCAGAGACCATGAGAGCCTAGGTTCAAGCCCTGGGTCTGTGTGTCTCAGGGGTTCACGATGGCCGTGTCAGAGACCATGAGAGCCTAGGTTCAAGCCCTGGGTCTGTGTGTCTCAGTGGTTCACGATGGCCGTGTCAGAGACCATGAGAGTCTGGGTTCAACCCCTGGGTCTGTGTGTCTCAGGGGTTCACGATGGCCGTGTCGTTGACCATGAGATGCTAGGTTCAAGCCCTGGGTCTGTGTCTCAGGGGTTCACGATGGTCGTGTCAGAGACCATGAGAGGCGATGTTGAAGCCCTGGGTCTGTGTGTCTCAGGGGTTCACGATGGCCGTGTCAGAGACCATGAGAGGCGATGTTCAAGCCCTGGGTCTGTGTGTCTCAGGGGTTCACGATGGCCGTGTCAGAGACCATGATGGGCGAGGTTCAAGCCCTGGGTCTGTGTGTCTCAGAGGTTCACGATGGCCGTGTCAGAGACCATGAGGGGCTCGGTTCAAGCCCTGGGTCTGTGTGTCTCAGAGGTTCACGATGGCCGTGTCAGAGACCATGATGGGCGAGGTTCAAGCCCTGGGTCTGTGTGTCTCAGGGGTTCACGATGGCCGTGTCAGAGACCATGATAGGCGAGGTTCAAGCCCTGGGTCTGTGTGTCTCAGAGGTTCACGATGGCCGTGTCAGAGACCATGAGAGGCGAGGTTCAAGCCCTGGGTCTGTGTGTCTCAGAGGTTCACAATGGCCGTGTCAGAGACCATGAGGGGCTCGGTTCAAGCCCTGGGTCTGTGTGTCTCAGAGGTTCACGATGGCCGTGTCAGAGACCATGAGAGGCTAGGTTCAAGCCATGGGTCTCTGTGTCTCAGAGGTTCACGATGGCCGTGTCAGAGACCATGATGGGCGAGGTTCAAGCTCTGGGTCTGTGTGTCTCAGGGGTTCACGATGGTCGTGTCAGAGACCATGAGAGTCTGGGTTCAAGCCCTGGGTCTGTATGTCTCAGGGGTTCACGATGGCCGTGTCAGAGACCACGATGGGCTAGGTTCAAGCCCTGGGTCTGTGTGTCTCAGGGGTTCACGATGGCCGTGTCAGAGACCATGAGATCCTAGGTTCAAGGCCTGGGTCTGTGTGTCTCAGTGGTTCACGATGGCCGTGTCAGAGACCATTAGAGTCTAGGTTCAAGCCCTGGGTCTGTGTGTTTCAGGGGTTCACGATGGCCGTGTCAGAGACCATTATAGTCTAGGTTCAAGCCCTGGGTCTGTGTGTTTCAGGGGTTCACGATGGCCGTGTCAGAGACCATGGGGGGCTAGGTTCAAGCCCTGGGTCTGTGTGTCTCAGAGGTTCACGATGGCCGTGTCAGAGACCATGAGAGGCGAGGTTCAGGCCATGGGTCTGTGTGTCTCAGGGGTTCACGACTACCTCGCCTGGTGTGCAGGAGGTCGTGGGTTCGATCTCGACCCTGACGCCTGCTGCTGCTGCTGCTGTATGTTTGGAGTCTCTGTCTCTCCCGCTGTGGTCGTGTGGGTTTGTCTCCGGGTGCCACATTGTAGAATGGACTTCACCACGCGATTGAGAGTCGTTGTCTGCTGCTGTACATTTCCACGCGACCAGGACAATGATGACGACGATGACGACGGTGATGATGATGATGACGATGATGACGACGACGATGACGATGACGACGACGACGATGATGACGACGACGATGATGATGACGACGACGATGACGATGACGACGATGATGACGACGACGATGACGACGACAACGACGATGACGACGACGACGATGATGACGACGACGATGATGATGACGACGATGATGATGATGACAACGACGATGATGACGACTGATTATGATGACATCGGCCACTCCTTCTTTGAGCTGCAATCATTCGTGATCGCCAGAGTCGCTTCAGGAGACGAGAGAATGAGCAACGCAGCTCAGTGGGGCCCTGCAACCTAGTGCAATACTCAAATAGTTGAGTTCGCTTTCAAGACCACCCGCATCTCCCCTCCCCTCCTCTTCCAGGAACCACAAACCCTGCCAGCATGTACCTCCACCTGTACACGGGCTGCTTGCGAGACAAGTTTTCATATCCTCGCCCCCCCCCCCCGTACCCTCCCACACTGATGAGACCGCATCGCAGCATTGGTGTTCATCTAGCTGTGGATCGACCATGGCTGGTGGTGATGATGGTGGTGATGGTGATTGGTGGTGATGGTGGTGATGATGGTGATGGTGGTGATGGTGGTGATGGTGATGGTGGTGGCGGTGGTGATGATGGTGGTGGTGATGGTGGTGGTGATTGGTGGTGGTGGTGATTGGTGATGGTGGTGGTGGTGATGGTGGTGGTGATGGTGGTGATGATGGTGATGGTGGTGATGGTGATGGTAGTGGTGATGGTGATGGTGGTGATGGTAGTGGTGATGGTGGTGGTGATTGGTGATGGTGGTGGTGATGACTGGCTGATGCACCACCTGTGCCCCCTACTGTACCAATAGACACATACACACTCACAGACACACACACAGACACACACATACACACACAGACACACAGACACAGACACACAGACAGACACACAGACAGACACACAGACAGATACACAGACACACAGACACACACACAGACACACAGACACACAGACACACACACAGACACACATACAGACACACATACAGACACACACAGACACACACACACAGGCATCTCCTCGTGTATCCTCACTGGTGGTGTTGGTGGCCGTGAGCGGGAATCGAACTCGGGTCGCCCGGGGTCGTAGCGCAGCGCTCACCACTACTACATCACCGCTCCCCACACACACTGGCACACACGCCGTGCGTGCCTGTGTGTCGCCGTGCGTGTGTGTGCGTGTGTGTGTGCGTGTGTGTGCGTGTGCGCGTGTGCGTGCGTGTGTGCGTGTGCGTGCGTGTGTGCGTGTGCGTGCGTGTGCGCGTGTGTGTGTGCGTGCGTGTGCGCGTGTGTGTGTTGGCGTGTGTTGTGTGTGTGCGTGTGTGTGCGTGTGTTGTGTGTGTGCGTGTGTGTGCGTGCGTGTGTGTGTGTTGCTTGTGTGCGTGTGTGTGTGCGTGTGTGTGTGTGCGTGTGTGTGTGCGTGTGTGCGTGTGTGTTGCTTATGTGTGTGTGTGCGTGTGTGTGTGTGCGTGTGTTGCGTGTGTGTGTGCGTGTGTGTGTGTGCGTGTGTGTGTGTGCGTGTGTTGCGTGTGTGTGCGTGTGTGTGTGTGCGTGTGTGTGTGTGTGTGCGTGTGTGTGTGCGTGTGTGTGTGTGCGTGTGTGTTGCGTGTGCGTGGAATGTGGCGCATCTCGTCCGCGATGAGCACATCGGGGAAGCATGACGACGATTTGGCAGAGAGAGTGACGGGAGCACGAGCCGCACTGCATGCACACCTCCACACGCACACACTGACACACACACACACACAGACACACTGACACACACACACAGACACACACACCTCCACACGCACACACACAGACACACACAGACACACACACTGACACACACACACTGACACACACACACCTCCACACACACACACAACACAGATACACACACTGACACACACACACACACCTCCACACGCACACACTGACACACACACACACACACAGACACACACACTGACACACACACACAGACACACACACCTCCACACGCACACACACAGACACACACAGACACACACACTGACACACACACACTGACACACACACACCTCCACACACACACACAACACAGATACACACACTGACACACACACACACACCTCCACACGCACACACTGACACACACACACACACAGACACACACACTGACACACACACACAGACACACACACTGACACACACACTGACACACACACACACTGACACACACACACACCTCCACACGTACACACAACAACAACAACAACAACCGCCATTCGCCACTAAGTGGCGGTGACGTCACCACGATGCTTGTGCCAGGCCAAGTGCACCTTGAGGCCACGTGAAGTGTCGAACGCCCGCTGGCAGGAGGTCACGGGGCAGACCCAGGTGCCACGGGTCGACTGACTGAGATGACCGAGATGACTGGCTGATGTACCACCTGTGCCCCCTACTGTGCCAACTTGCTGTGCTTTAGCCACCCGGTGCTCCGCTCGTTGTTGTGAGCGTCGCTCCTCCGCCCTCCGTTGTTGTTGGAGGGCGACTGCCTCCAACTGCCCAGTAGCGTCCTTCACGAGCCTCCTCCACTGAGGCCGATCTTGACACCGCTGGTACCGGTCATCGGCAAGTCCACTCAGCTCCACGTCCTCCTGTACCACATCACTCCATCTCTTCTCTAGCCCGTGCCGCGCCCGCTTAGCCCCCTCAATCTGGCCGAACAAAAGCTGTTTAGGCATGCGGTGGCTGGGCATGCGGGCTACATGACCCAGCCATCACAGCCTTGCCTGCCGGAGGAGTTCACCGATGGGACTTTGCCCAGATCTTTCAAGGATTTGTGAGCTCCTCACACAAACCATGCCTGGTTAAACCCAGGATGGATCGTAGGCAGGCCAGCCTAAATGTTTCTAACCATTGAGGATGTTCCATTAGGGGGGTCCACGTTTCGCAAGCGTAGAGAAGGGAGGGAGTGACCGTGGCCGAGAAGACCTGAAGCTTCGTGTGGAGCGACAGACCAGGTAGCTTCCACACAGCGTTACGCAACCGATGAAAAGATAATGCCGCTCGACTGATTCGGAGTGAGACCTCTGCTGTTAAACCGGAGCCAGTCATAAGCACACTGCCCAGGTATGGGAAACTCTCCACTCTCTCCACAACTGCCCCATCACCGATTGGGACTTGTGGGGGTGGAGTGTCCAATGGTACAAAATACCCAGGCAGGTGCTTCGTTTTGGTGGGGCTGATGGTAAGGCCCCACCTCTTAGTGGCACGCTCCAGTCTCAGCAGCAGCGTCTCCAACAGTAGCCTTCGTTGGCACTGCCGCTGCTGCTCGCTACTGATGGCACTTGCCCCTACACCCCGCTGAAGGCTATCCGGGGCTCCTTTGTCTTTGTCTCCTTCGTAGGGGGGTGCTCGCGGACTGAGCGCACTTGCCCCTCCGCCCCGCTGAAGGCTATCCGGGGTTCTTTTGTCTTTGTCTCCTTCATAGGGGAGTTCTCGCGGACCGACCGCACTTGCCCCTCCGCCCCGCTGAAGGCTACCTGGGGGCTCATTTGTCTTTGTCTCCTTCGTAGTGGGCGGCTCGCGGACTGAGCGCACTTGCCCCTCCGCCCCGCTGAAGGCACTTGCCCCTCCACCCCGCTGAAGGCTACCCGGGGGGCCCTTTGTCTTTGTCTCCTTCGTAGGGGGGGTCCTCGCAGACTCAGCGCACTTGCCCCTCCGCCCCGCTGAAGGCTACCTGGGGCTCCTTTGTCTTTGCAGGCGAGCAGGTGGCGGTGTTCCGCGGCGAGGAGGGGGGCCAGGCGAGCGTGCTGGACGCCTACTGCCCGCACCTGGGGGCCAACCTGGCGGTGGGGGGCCAGGTGAGGGGGGGCTGCCTCGAGTGCCCCTTCCACGGCTGGAGGTTCCGTGGCGAGGACGGCCGCTGCGTCCACATCCCGTACTCCAGCAAAGGTGCGGGGCGAGGCGGCGGCGGCGCTGTCGTCAACGTCGTCGCTGTTGTCACTATCGCCATCGTCAACATCGTTGCTGTTGTCACTCGCCATCGTCACTATCGCCATCGTCAACATCGTTGCTGTTGTCACTCGCCATCGTCAACGTCGTCAACATCGTCACTATCGTCAACATCGCCATCGTCACCATCGTCACTATCGCCATCGTCAACATCACCGTCGTCAAGAACACCATCGTCAACGTCATCAACATCGCCATCGTCAACATCGCCATCGTCAACATCACCGTCGTCAAGAACACCATCGTCAACGTCATCAACATCGCCATCGTCAACATCGCCATCGTCAACATCACCGTCGTCAAGAACACCATCGTCAACGTCATCAACATCGCCATCGTCAACATCGCCATCGTCAACATCGCCATCGTCAACATCACCGTCGTCAACATCACCATCGTCACCATCGTCAACATCGCCATCGTCAACATCACCGTCGTCAACATCACCATCGTCACCATCGTCAACATCGCCATTGTCAACATCACCGTCGTCAAGAACACCATCGTCAACGTCGTCAACATCGCCATCGTCAACATTGTTAACATCGTTAACATCACTGTCGTCACTATCGTCAACATCACCATCGTCACTATCGCCATCGTCAACATCGTGAACATCACTGTCGTCAACATCACCATCGTCACCATCGTCACTATCGTCACTATCGCCATCGTCAACATCACTGTCAATATCACCATCATCACCATCTTCAACATCACCATCATCAACATGGTCAACATCGTCAACATCACCATCATCACCATCGTCAACATCGTCAACATCACCATCGTCAACATCACCATCATCACCATCGTCAACATCGTTCACGTCACCACTAACGTCATCGTCAACATCACCGTCGTCACCATCTTCAACATCACCATCATCAACATCGTCAACATGACCATCATCAACATCACCATCATCAACATCGTCAACATCACCATCGTCAACATCACCATCTTCAACATCACCATCACCATCATCAACATCACCATCATCACCATCGTCAACATGACCATCGTCAACATCACCATCTTCAACATCGTCACCATCTTCAACATCACCATCATCAACATCGTCAACATGACCATCGTCAACATCACCATCTTCAACATCGCCATCATCAACATCACCATCATCAACATCGTCAACATCACCATCGTCAACATCACCATCTTCAACATCACCATCACCATCATCAACATCACCATCATCACCATCGTCAACATGACCATCGTCAACATCACCATCTTCAACATCGTCACCATCTTCAACATCACCATCATCAACATCGTCAACATGACCATCGTCAACATCACCATCTTCAACATCGCCATCACCATCATCAACATCACCATCATCAACATCGTCAACATCACCATCGTCAACATCACCATCTTCAACATCACCATCACCATCATCAACATCACCATCATCACCATCGTCAACATCACCATCTTCAACATCGTCACCATCATCAACATCGTCAACATCGTCAACATCACCATCATCACCATCTTCAACATCACCATCATCACCATCGTCAACATCAACATCGCCAACATCACCATTTTCAACATCACCATCGTCAACATCGTCCACACCGCCACTATTGTCCATGTCACCATCATCATCACCATCATCATCTTTGCCATCGTTATCAACGCCATCACAATAACAACGATGGTGGAGTGAGTGAGTGAGTGGGTGGGTGACCAAATGGGTGATCACGGCAATGATCACTCTTTGGTTCTTCCTGTGAAGTCGCGTAGAAAGAAAACCAAATGAAACAATAGCAGACGACGTTTCGATTCCAACACAAGCAATCGTCGTGACTTCACCGAAAGAACCAACGAGTATAAACCTCGTAAACTTAGAAAAAAAATACCTGCTTGATTGCGTTCTTCCAAAGATTGCTAAATTTGTGTGTCTGTCTTGGTGTCATTCGTACCTGATGATAGTTGCTTGTATTGCAATCGAAACGTCACATGCTATTATTTAATTAATGTTTCTTTCTACGTGACTTTAGCGAAAGAACCAAATCAAGTTTTCACAACAATGATGATGATGTTGACAATGACACTCCTACTGCTGCTACTGCTGCTGCTACTACTACTGCTGCTACTGCTGCTACTGCTGCTACTGCTGCTGCTACTACTACTGCTGTTACTGCTACTGCTGCTGCTACTACTGCTGTTACTGCTACTGCTGCTGCTACTACTGCTGCTACTGCTGCTACTACTACTGCTGCTACTACCGTTACTACTGCTGCTGCTGCTACTACTGCTGCTGCTACTATTGCTACTGCTGCCACTACTGCTGCTACTGCTGCTGCTACTACTGCTACTTCTGCTACTGCTGCTACTACTGCTGCCACTACTGCTGCCACTACTGCTGCTACTACTGCTGCCACTACTGTTGCTGCTACTGCTGCTGCTACTACTGTTACTAATGCTACTGCTGCTGCTACTGCTGCTGCTACTGCTGCTGCTGCTACTACTACTGCTGCTGCTACTACTACTGCTACTACTACTGCTACTACTGCTGCTACTATTGCTACTGCTACTATTGCTACTAATGCTGCTGCTACTGTTGCTGCTACTGCTGCACCCGTCTGCAGTGCCGGAGTTTGCGCGCGTGCGCAGCTGGGCGAGCTGCGAGCGCAACGGGACGGTGTACGCGTGGTACCACTGTGACGGCGGCGAGCCCACGTGGCAGGTGCCCGAGGTGGAGGAGATCTCCAGCGGCGAGTGGCAGTACAGAGGTCGCACGGAGCACACCATCAACGCGCACATCCAGGTGTGGTGACACACACACTCACACACACACTCACTCACACACTCACTAATACACTCACTAATACACTCACACACTCACTCACTCACACACTCACTCACAAGGAGATCTCCAGCGGCGAGTGGCAGTACAGAGGTCGCACGGAGCACACCATCAACGCGCACATCCAGGTGTGGACACACACACTAATACACACACTCACTCACACACTCACTAATACACTCACTAATACACTCACACACTCACTCACACACTCAGTCACTCACTCACACACTCACAAGGAGATCTCCAACGCGCACATCCAGGTGCGGGGACACGCACACGCACACACGCAGTCACATTCGCTCACTCACACTCACTAATACACTCGCTCACACACTCACACGCACTCACACGCACACTCACCCACCCACACTCACACACTCACTCACACACTCACTCGCACACTCACCCACCCACACTCACACACTCACTCACACACTCACTCGCACACTCACTCACCCACACTCACGCTGTGCTCGTCCCTAATATGTATCGTGCGTTGCGTCGGCGCGATGCTGCCCCCCCCCCCCTGCCCCCCCCCCCTGACCCCCCCCTGACCCCCCCCCCCGCCCCCCCCCGCCCCCCGCAGGAGATCCCAGAGAACGCGGCGGACGTGGCGCACCTCAACCACCTCCACTCGCCCATCATCCTGAGCGGCAGCGACCTGCGCTTCTCCAACCCGCCCCGGTGGGGCTTCACCAAGCACCTGTGGGACGTAGGTGCTGCACACCACCTCACCACGTGACCTGTGTGACGTAGGTGCTGCACACCCCCACACCACGTGACCTGTGTGACGTAGGTGCTGCACACCACCACACCACGTGACCTGTGTGACGTAGGTGCTTCACACCACCACCTCACCACGTGACCTGTGTGACGTAGGTGCTGCACACCACGTGACCTGTGTGACGTAGGTGCTGCACACCACCTCACCACGTGACCTGTGTGACGTAGGTGCTGCACACCACCTCACCACGTGACCTGTGGGACGTAGGTGCTGCACACCACCACACCACGTGACCTGTGTGACGTAGGGGCTGCACACCACCACACCACGTGACCTGTGTGACGTAGTTGCTGCACACCACCACACCACGTGACCTGTGTGACGTAGGTGGTCCCCACCACCACACCACGTGACCTGTGTGACGTAGGGGCTGCACACCACCACACCACGTGACCTGTGTGACGTAGTTGCTGCACACCACCACACCACGTGACCTGTGTGACGTAGGTGGTGCCCAGCACCACACCACGTGACCTGTGTGACGTAGGTGGTGCCCAGCACCACACCACGTGACCTGTGTGACGTAGGTGGTCCCCACCACCACACCACGTGACCTGTGTGACGTAGGTGGTGCCCAGCACCACATCACCGCCCGCGGTTTTTCCACTGCACAACCGAGCCGAGCCGTGCCGGGGTTGCTGACATGGGACGCACGCGGGTGACGTCACGTCCTCACTGAGGACCGACTCACGACGACGACGACGACGATGATGACGACGATGATGACGACGATGATGACGACGATGATGACGACGATGATGATGACGATGACGACGACGCTGCCCCCCCCGCCCCCCTGCCCCCCCCATCCCCCCCCCGCCCCCCCCGCCCCCGCAGGTGCAGTGGAGCCCCGAGGCGGCGCCGAACCTGCACTGCTCCCGCATGCTGCTGCACCATCGCGTCACCGCGTGGGGACACGAGCTGCCACTCGCCACCATCGACGTCGTCGCTCGCCAGGTGAGTGGGGGGGGGTGAGTGGGGGGTGGGGGGGGGGTGAGTGGGGGGTGGGGGGTGAGGGGGGGTGGGGGGGTGGGGGGTGAGGGGGGGTGAGTGGTGGGTGAGTGGGGGGGGAGAAGGGTGAGTGGGGGGCGAGGGAGACGGGTGAGTGGGGGGGTGAGTGAGGGGTCAGCGGCGGGTAAGGGGCGGGTGAGGGGTGAGTGGGGGGTGAGTGAGGGGTGAGTGAGGGGTGAGTGAGGGGTGAGCGAGGGGTGAGTGGCGGGTAAGTGAGGGGTGAGCGAGTGAGTGAGTGATGGGTGAGTGACGGGTGAGCGAGGGGTGAGTGAGTGAGGGGTGAGCGAGCGAGTGAGTGACGAGTAAGACCTCAGGTAAGACCTCAGGTGAGTTGTTTGCGCGTCATCAGCCCCGAGTTGCATTTCAGCCAACACCAGCGAGCGTCCCGAGGCCTCGCCTAGGTCGACTCAGCCTCAAGACGAGCCCTTTGCCCGGCGTGTGTCGCCTGGGGAGACAAAGGCGGCCGGTGACATTGCCCTGACCGCAGGTGGGTCCGGGTCTCGTGTTCATGAGCTTCGAGCACAAGCTGCTGGGCCGCGGGGTCATCCTGCACTGCGTGACCCCCGTGGAGCCGCTCCTGCAGACCGTGACCCACACCATCTTCTACGCGCGGCGCGTGCCCACACTCGTGCCCAAGATGCTGCTGCGCCTGGAGTGCGTGCAGGTGCCGTGGGGCGGGGGCGGGAGGTCATTCGGGTTCACGGTGGGGGTAGGGAGGTCATTCGGGTTCACGGTGGGGGGGGGAGGTCATTCGGGTTCACGGGGGGGGTAGGGAGGTCATTCGGGTTCACGGTGGGGGGGGGAGGTCATTCGGGTTCACGGGGGGGGGTAGGGAGGTCATTCGGGTTCACGGTGGGGAGGGGGGGAGGGAGGTCATTCGGGTTCACGGTGGGGGGGGGAGGGAGGTCATTCGGGTTCACGGTGGGGGGAGGGGGAGGTCATTCGGGTTCACGGTGGGGGGGCGGCGGGAGGTCATTCAGGTTCACGGTGGGGGTGAGGGAGGTCATTCGGGTTCACGGTGGGGGTAGGGAGGTCATTCAGGTTCACGGTGGGGAGAGGGAGGTCATTCGGGTTCACGGTGAGGGAGGGAGGTCATTCGGGTTCACGGTGGGGAGAGGGGGGCAGGAGGTCATTCGGGTTCACGGAGGGGGTAGGGAGGTCATTTGGGTTCACGGTGGGGGTAGGGAGGTCATTCGAGTTCACGAGGGGGGGCGGGGGAGGTCATTCAGGTTCACGGTGGGGGAGCGGGGGAGGTCATTCGGGTTCACGGTGGGGGGGCGGCGGGAGGTCATTCGGGTTCACGGTGGGGGAGGGGGGGGCGGGAGGTCATTCGGGTTCACGGTGGGGGGGGCGGCGGGAGGTCATTCGAGTCCACGGTGGGGGGAGGGGGAGGTCATTCGGGTCCACGGTGGGGGGAGGGGGAGGTCATTCGGGTTCACGGTGGGGGGGGGGGGAGGTCATTCGGGTTCACGGTGGGGGGAGGGGGAGGTTCATTCGGGTTCACGGGGGGGGGGGGGGTAGGGAGGTCATTCGGGTTCACGGTGGGGAGGGGGGGAGGGAGGGAGGTCATTCGGGTTCACGGTGGGGGGGGAGGGAGGGAGGTCATTCGGGTTCACGGTGGTGGGAGGGGGAGGTCATTCGGGTTCACGGTGGGGGGGGGAGGGAGGGAGGTCATTCGGGTTCACGGTGGGGGGGAGGGGGAGGTCATTCGGGTTCACGGTGGGGAGGGGGGGGAGGGAGGGAGGTCATTCGGGTTCACGGTGGGGGGGGGGAGGTCATTCGGGTTCACGGTGGGGGGAGGGGGAGGTCATTCGGGTTCACGGTGGGGGGGAGGGGGAGGTCATTCGGGTTCACGGTGGGGGGAGGGGGAGGTCATTCGGGTTCACGGTGGGGGGGGGCGGCGGGAGGTCATTCAGGTTCACGGTGGGGGTAGGGAGGTCATTCAGGTTCACAGTGGGGGTGAGGGAGGGAGGTCATTCGGGTTCACGGTGGGGAGAGGGAAGTCATTCGGGTTCACGGTGGGGGGGGGGAGGTCATTCGGGTCACGGTGGGGGGGAGGGGGAGGTCATTCGGGTTCACGGTGGGGGGAGAGGGGGAGGTCATTCGGGTTCACGGTGGGGGGAGGGGGAGGTCATTCGGGTTCACGGTGGGGGGGGGGGAATCTTTCTCGGCTTGTGGCTTGGCCTTTCATCTGCCGCGTGTCTGTCCGTGCCCCCCCCCTCTCCCCCCCTCCCGTGCCCCCCCCCTCTCCCCCCTCCCGTGCCCCCCCCCTCCCCCCCCTCCCGTGCCCCCCCCCTCTCCCCCCTCCCGTGCCCCCCCCCTCTCCCCCCTCCCGTGCCCCCCCCCTCTCCCCCCCTCCCGTGCCCCCCCCCCTCTCCCCCCTCCCGTGCCCCCCCCCTCTCCCCCCCTCCCGTGCCCCCCCCCTCTCCCCTCCCGTGCCCCCCCCCCTCTCCCCTCCCGTGCCCCCCCCCCCTCTCCCCCCTCCCGTGCACTCCCCCCCCCACTCGCCGTCCGTGCCCCCCCCTCCCGTACCCCCCCACTCCCGTGCCCCCCCCCCCCGGTCACGTGCGCAGTTCGAGCGCGACCTCATGATCTGGAACAACAAGCGCTACGTGTCCAAGCCGCTGCTCGTCAAGGAGGACGCCCTCATCGCCCGCCACCGCCGCTGGTACTCGCAGTTCTACTCCGACAACAGCCCCCGCTACTCCCGGAGCCGCGACTCGCTCGACTGGTGACGGGCCCCCCCCCCCCACGGGGACCCCCCCCCCCACGGGGACCCCCCCCCCCCCCCACGGGGACCCCCCCCCCCCGTTACGCGACAAATCATTGGACGCCTCCCACAGGAACGCGAGTTGGGATTCGTTCTAACGGCGATCTCGTGCCGATGACGCAAATCCACTCCCCCCCCCCCCCCCCCCCCCGTCTCTCTCCTCGTCTTTTTTTTACTAATAAAGTGAATGCGGACCGGTGACGTCCGTCGCAGGTACCCCCATGGGACCCACTCCCCCCTAACTCCCCCCTCTCTCTCGTCGGGACGTCCTCTGCAAGGACCACGTGGGGGGGGGGGGACGTCGATCCCTGCTCCACGGAGCCGGAGACAACGCGGCTCTGTAACAGAGGGCGGGGGGGGGGGGGTCACAATGGCCGTGGCAGAGACACTGAGTCAACACAGCTGAGATCCACAGGTTCAAGCCCCGGGTTTGGGTGTGAGTCTGTGGGTCTCTGTGTGAATCTGTGGGTCTCTGTGCGAATCTGTGTGAGTCTGTGGCTCTCTGTGTGAGTCTGTGGGTCTCTGTGAGTCTAGAAATCTCTGTGCGAGTCTGTGGGTCTCTGTGTGAGTCTGTCTCTCTGTGTGAGTCTGTGGGTCTCTGTGTGAGTATATGGGTCTCTGTGTGAGTCTGTGGGTCTCTCTGTGTGAGTCTGTGTCTCTCTGTGCGAGTCTATGGGTCTCTGTGTGAGTCTGTGGGTCTCTGTGTGAGTCTGTGGGTCTCTGTGTGAGTCTGTGGGTTTATGTGTGAGTCTGTGAGTCTGTGTGTCTCTCTGTGAGTCTGTCTCTCTCTGTGCGAGGAGTCTATGCGGTGGGTAGTGGGGGGTGTAGTGAGGGGGGGGTAGTGGGGGGGGGGTTAAGGCGCTGCGCTATTCCTTGACGACCAATGGGATGTCCTGGCGGGACTCGGCTGCAGCAGGGCGCTGGGAGCCGTCAAGTTGCTGCCTCTGCACCGCCTTGCACCCCCCCCCCCCCCCCCGGCTCAACTCCTTGGGCTCCCTCCACGTGTCTTACCCCAACCACCAATTCAGCCACACCACTCAGCCACACCACTCAGCCACCCCACCACACCCACCACTCACCACCCAGCCACACCACCCAAACACCACCACACCACCCAGCCACCCCACCCAAACACACCACTCAGCCACACCATTCAGCCACCCCACCACACCCACCACTCACCACTCAGCCACTCCACCCAGCCATCCCACCCAAACACACCACCCAGCCACACCACGCGTCCCACCCATCACTGTAGTAGTCGTCGTTGTGACCATCACGAGTGCTCCTTGTGATGCTCGCCGCCTGCTCCACTCGCGGTGGACGTCAAGGGTCACGTGACGCCAAACATTGCGTGCCAAGTTCGTACGTCTACGTCGCAAGATTTCAAACTCGATTCGTGATTTGACACCAATTAGCCAACACCCGTCACTCGCCTGTGCCAGGCTAGGTGCACTACCCCCCTATGGGCAGACGAATCCCTGTGCCGGGCCAACGTTGTGCCACGCAGGGACAGCTTCCACTGGATGAGGGGGGGTGCCCCTTTCAAATGTGTTGAGAGAAGATGAAATTCATACATTTACGTTGCAAGATGAGATTTTTAAAAGCGCTGTGAGACCTCGCCCACGATACTGGAGGGCGGCTATAAAAAATAAAAATCAGATCACACAGAGACCCCAGTGGGACCCCATCACTAAATAATGTGACGTCCTTCGCGATGACCCCAGTGGGGCCCCATCATTCAACAGCGGGACCCCCATCATTCAACAGCGGGACGTCCTTCACAGAGCCCCTCAGCGGGACCCCCATCATTCAACAGAGGGACCCCCACCATTAAATAATGGGACGTCCCTCACAGAGCCCCTCAGAGAGACCCCATCACTAAATAATGTGACGACCCCCACAGGGACCCCAGTGGGACCCCATCATTCAACAGCGGGACCCCCATCATTAAACAGCGGGGACGTCTCTCGCAATGACCCCAGTGGGACCCCATCACTTAATATAAAAAACAATAAAATCATCACCACCACCACAACCTCCTCCTCTTCGCCATTCACATCTCGGAGTGCTTTTCCTCCAGCGCTCACCTCCCAACCCACAAGTTGTTTAAATCCCCTCCATCCCTGCCTCTCGAATTGTCCAGGCATCCCTTTAAATTTGGCGTCTGCCGTTCGAATCATCGCAAGGGGTCCCGTGGTGGGGGGGGGGGGGCAAGACCCCCTCTATGACCCCCACCAAGACCCCATCGGGGACCCCCACCACCACCACCACCATTGGGGGGGGCTCTGTGTGCCATTACTTCTGTGTTGGTTTTAAGTCTCGCGGAGTCGATATTGTCGTTTAAAGTTGTTGTTGTTGTTGTTGTTTTTTAATGATCGTCACGAGGCATCACAAAGTAATAATCGCTCGGCGTGTGTTTGTTGTTGTTGTTTGCTTGTTGTTTGTATGCACTTTTGATTAAAAACAAAAAAAATGTCACGCAAATCGTATTGCGGGAGGTTGTGGATCGACGGTCAGCTGCAGAAACAGAAGTTCGGAGTCCCCTCTGTGCCCCCCCCACCCCCCACCCCCCACTATACACTACACTACACACTACACTATACACTACACTATACACTACTATACACTACACTATACACTACACTATACACTACACTATACACTACACTATACACTATACACTACACTATACACTACACTATACACTACACTATACACTACACTATACACTACACAAACACTGCACTATACACTACTATACACTACACTATACACTACACTATACACTACTATACACTACACTATACACTACTATACACTACACAAACACTGCACTATACACTACTATACACTACACACTACACTACACACTACACTATACACTACACTATACACTACACTACACTACTATACACTACACTATACACTACACTATACACTACACTACACACTACACTACACTATACACTACTATACACTACACTATACACTACACTATACACTACACTATACACTACACTATACACTACATGCACTACTCTCCCGTCTGGTTCCGGGGGGGTCTGTGCCGTCAAATTCCAGAGAGAGGCTCCTGGGGGAGGAGATGGAACGCGAAATCGAAATCTCGCAGCACTTTGCCCCTCCCCCCAACAGCCCCTTAAGAGGCTACACGGGGCGCCTTTGTCTTTGTGATTTTTCCTGTTTTACGACAGCAGCTGCCGTAAAGGTCGTGAACATTTTTGATCTTTACGGCAGACGTCGCAGTCGTAAAAACCCGGAAGCACGTGCGGCGTGACACGTGGGGAGCCGCCTGCACCGGTCGCTTCCCGCCACCACCACCACCGGCTCTGTGGTTGTTGTGTTGTGGTTGTTGTTGTTGTTATTGTGGTGGTGGTTGTGGTGGTGGTTGTGGTGGTGGTTGTGGTGGTGGTTGTTGTGTTATTGTTGTGGTTGTTGTCGTGATTGTTGTTGTGTTATTGTTGTTGGTTGTTGTGGTTGGTTGTTGTTGTTGGTTGTTCGCGCGATCGAGCGGCTCCAAGTCGGCAGTTCGCCGCCGCCACCACCGCAGCACCGCGGGCGGCCGCCGATTGTCTGAGAGCCGGAGGAGCACGAGGAAGAGGGGGGGGCAGTAGGAGGAGGAGGAGGGGGGGTAGGAGCAGCAGGGGTCGCCTAAGTTCGTCGTCGTGCGTTCAAACAGAACGCAAGCCCGTCGTAAAGCGGGTCCCCACGACCGTCGTAAAGCGGGCCCCCACGACCGTCGTAAAGCGAGTCACGCGCCCGTCGTAAAGCGACCCGCAAGCCCATCAAGCGGATCGCGCGCTCGTCGTAAAGCGGGTCCACAGGACCGTCGTAAAGCGGTTCACCACGACCGTCGTAAAGCGGGGCGCACGCGCCCGTTGTGACGTCATGTTCGCCTCGCGCGCCGCGTGCGCCATGTGCGGCGAGTCGGGGCGTGACGCGCCCTACACGTGTCCGCGCTGCAACGCGCGCTACTGCAGCTCGCGCTGCTACCGCGCGCCCAGCCACGCGGCCTGCAGCGAAGACTTCTATCGTCGCTGCGTGCTCGGCGAGATGACGCGCCGTGGTGGAGGTGGTGGTGGAGGTGGTGGTGGTGGAGGAGGTGGTGAGACTGGACCGGCGTCGTCGCCCGAGCAAGTGGAGCGAATGCTTGGGATGTTGAGGAGGCTCCGGACGCAGCAGCAGCAGCAGCAGGAGAATGAAGATGAGGAAGAGGAGCAGCAAGGAGATTTTGACGCGGAGGAGATGATGACGACGATGATGATGGAAGCCGAGAGGAAGAAGAGCGGTGATGGTGGTGATGGTGGTGATGACAGTGATGACAGTGATGATGTTGACGAGCAAGCAGAGGAGGTGATGAAGATGGGCACGATTGGTGGCGGCGGTGGTGTTGCCACGGCTCACGCAAATGTGCGAATGAATATTGACGACGACGCTTCCGACGATGACGACGACGCCGACCCCAGCAGCCTCGCGGTGAGGCTGCGGGGCCTGAACCTCGACACGGACTCGCGCCTCGTCTGGGAGAGGCTCACTGACTCTGAGCGGAGGAGGTTCCACGAAGTCGTGGACTCGGTCCGTGCCGCGTCGTCGTCGTCGTCGCTGCTACCGCCGGCGGCACCGTGGCTGACATGGCGGCCCTGGTGGGAGCGGGAATACGACCGCCGCCGGGCCGAGCGTCCCGCGGGTGTCGTGGCGGCGGCGGCGGCGGCGGAGAAGGGACAGAAGCTCCGCAGAGGTAAAGGATTTAAAATTCAAATTTTTTACTTTTTCTTTTGCCAGGTAAGGCCCCAATTAGCTGCTTTGTGTAGATCTTTTTCAGAAGCGGCCCTGGCCACCACGGATGATAGCCGAGCGAAGTGGCTCATCATCATCATCATCGCGTGGAATTTATAGCAGAAGCCAAATACTGTAAACGCATCGGGACACGCAGAGACCCACAGAGATAGAGAGATGAACAGAGATCCACAGGGATACATGGAGACCCACAGACTAAACTAACATTTAACTATTTTATTTTACCAGGTAAGGCCCCACTGTGTAGATCGTTTTCAGAAGCGGCCTGGCCATCACAGATGATAGCCGAGTGAAGTGTCTCATTATCATCATCGCGTGGGGACACCAGAAACTCCAAATATACAGCAGCAGCAGGCATCGTCAGGGGTCGGGATCGAACCCACGACCTCCTGCCTACCAGGCGAGGTAGTCAACATCTCATAGCCACCGTGATGATGATGATGAGACGCAGACTCCAAATATGCAGCAAGTGTCGTCAGGGGTCGGGATCGAACCCACGACCTCCTGCCTACCAGGCGAGGTAGTTAACATCTAGCCACCGTGATGATGATGAGAGAGACACGCAAACTCCAAATATACAACAGCAGCAGGCGTCAGGGTCGGGATCGAACTCACGACCTCTTGTATACATCTTGGGGTTAAAGAGAAATTTAGGAGTAAATCCCATTGAGCTCAGAGGTTCTTGTTCACAGGGGCGACTCGGCCGGCAGACATCAAAGCGTTCCACACTCGCTGGCCCACACACCCACACACCCACACACTCACCCACACACTCACCCACCCCCTCACCCACGCACTTCAGTCTCGAGTTAGAACATGCGTTCCGCAGAACATGCGTCCCGTTATTAAGCGGTTCCTGAGCGGTCGACGTCGGACTACTTTCTTGAGCCGCCCGGCTGACCTGTACAGTGACACGGTAACGTGGAGTGATGGGGTCACGCGGAGTGACGGGGTCACGCGGGGGTCACGCGGAGCGACGGGGTCACGCGGGGGTCACGCGGGGGTCACGCGGAGCGACTGGGTCACGCGACGGCGCAACTCCAATCTCGGTTCTTTGCACCGCCGTGGGTTGGCGGCGGGCCGACTCTTGTCGTGCGAAATTGCGATCCGAAACTTCGCGCCCGTCGCTTCGAATCCTCGCGCCCCGTGACGTAAAGGCGGCAAATCCCTCGCCCGGCGCGTTTGACCAGGCTCCGGTTACCCCCCCGAACTTGCTCGCTTTTTCACCGTACGAACTCGGCTCGCTCCACCGCCGCCGCCGTGTGCCGCTGCTCCCCCGCGAGAACCGAGGGCGCGTTGCGAGGACGGAGAGGAAACACGCGGCGTGGCCTCGCTCGGTTTGAGGCCGGCAAGCAGGCGCGTGGATGGCTTCACTATTCTGGCAAATCGACCGATGATGCCGGTCGATGTAATTGCCGGCGAAATGTCACGGTGCTACTCAAACTCTTTAGTTCTTTCGGTGAAGTGACGGTAGGTAGGAAAAATAATAGATCGCGACGTTTCGATCGGTTGCTTGTGTGGCGATCGAAACGTCGCGATCTTGAATTTTTTCTACCCACGTGACTTTAGCGAAAGAACCAAAGAGTTTGAATTCCTGCAGTCACGAACGCTTCGAATGAAGGTCCTACTCACGTTGTCAACGTTGCGGGGACTTGCTGTCCGACACGCCGGCGGGCTGACGGAGTCAACGAATTGGCGCGTTTTGTTTACGCGATGAATCAGCTCGCCGATTGGCTGCGTCGGGTGGTGGAGGGTCACGACACATTTACACACTTGTACGCGATCTAACCCTCTATCGTGAATAGTATAGGTCGCGAAAGTTGCCTGCGCGTTAAACTCAAACGTGACCATCTTCTTGGTTCTTTCGGTAAAGTGACGTAGAAGGGAAGTAATAAAGTAATAAAAATAAAACATAATAAAATAATATTTTAACATAATATTTTATTATGTTTTATTATTTTAAAATAATATTTTATTATGTTTTATTTTTATTATTTTATTACTTCCCTTCTACGTGATGACTTCACCGAAATAACCAAGAAGATGAATCCCTGCAGTCACGAAAGCTTTAAATCGAAATTCAAACGTGACCGTTCGCCGCGCTTTGCTGACAGAGGCGGATAAAGACGATGAGGTGGACGACGAGGAGGTGGACGACGAGTTGGAGGCCACCGCCGGGATCCCCGCGGTGTCCGCGTGCATCCCCCCGCTGCGCTCGCTGTCGAGCCGCGACCCTGCGGCCTGCGTCCCCTTCTCGCTCGTCAACTTGCTGATGGCCTACACGGCGGCGACGCTGCTGGGCCTCCGTCGCCGCGACGACGACGACGCGGCGGCCCCGGCTCGCGACCTGGCGGCGCTCCTCCTGCGGCTCTCCGACCCCTCGGGCCGCCCGGCTGGCGCCGTCTTCGGCAGCGCCGGTGAGGCGGCGCTGGCGGCGCGGGCGGCGCTGCTGCTGCTGCTGCGGGGAGAGGAGGAGGGCGAGGAGGAGGAGGTGGAGGCGCTGTGGTTGCGCTGCCTGGGCGCGGTGGGGACGATCCTGGAGGGGCCCAGGAGCGGAGACCACCGGCGCTTCGTGCTGGCCGCCCTGTCGCACGCCGGCAAAGTGTTTGTGCGCGCGCGGAGAGAGATGAGGCGGGGGAGGAGGGGGGAGACGGGGGGAGCGGAGGCAGCGGCGGCGGCGGTGGCTGATGTGTCCACCGCCACCAGCACCACCGACACCACCGACACCGCCGCCGGCACCACGACCGCCGCACCACCAACCGCCGAGCGCGGACGCAGCGCCGCCGCCGCGGCGCCGTCTCGCGGGAGGCCTCGCGAAGCGCTGGAGGGGGGAGGGGGGCAGGCGGAGGGGCAGGAGGGCGCCGGGCCCAGCGCCTCGTCCTCCGCGTGCTTCCGCGCCCACAAGAAGTGCCTCTTCCTGCTGTCGTGGGCGTCCGAGCGGGGCGCCGAGCTGCCCGCCCTCGCGCGGGCCGTGCGGGAGGAGGAGGAGCGGGCGAGGAGGAGGAGGGTGGACAACGAGGAGGAGGAGGGGGCTGTGTGGGGGGGGGAGCGACCCCCCAGGGTTCTGGTGCAGGAGTTGTGAGCCGTGCGGGAGGAGGAGGAGGAGGGGGAGGAGGAGGAGGGTGGACGAGGGTGGACGAGGAGGAGGAGGAGGGCGGATTACGAGGAGGAGGAGGGGGAGGAGGAGGAGGGGGAGGAGGAGGAGGGGGAGGAGGAGGGCGGATGACGAGGAGGAGGAGGAGGGGGCTGTGCGGGGGGGGGCGACCCCCCAGGGTGCTGGTGCAGGAGTTGTGAGCCGTCGAGGATTCCAGTGAAGGGGGCGGCCAATGGAGGCGGAAGCCGCCGGTGACCTTGGCCTACTCTTCCGTCGACGCCGGTCGGAGGTTTCGCGTTACGGTGGCTGAGCACCGGGGGGAGGGGGGGGGGGCTTCAAGGCCAGCAACAAACAGCACCGTTAGCGAGGTTGTGACAGATAAGATTGTAGCTCGTTTGTGTTGATCGAGGTTGTTACAAGAGATTGGCGGGCGGGGGGGGTAGGACGAGACGGTGGTGAATTAGAGAGTGGAGCAGGGATAGGGAAGAAGCAGAGGGGTGAGGTGACCTGCAGTGTGGTGGGTGGGCGAGTGGATGGGTGGATGGGCGGGTGGGTGGGCGAGTGGATGGGTGGATGGGCGAGTGGATGGGTGGATGGGCGATGTGGATGGGTGGATGGGCGGGTGGGCGAGTGGATGGGCGGGTGTGGCGAGTGGATGGGTGGATGGCGGGGTGGGTTGGGCGAGGGGATGGGTGGATGGGCGAGTGGATGGGGTGGATGGGCGGGTGGGTGGGCGAGTGGATGGGTGGATGGGCGAGTGGATGGGTGGATGGGCGGGTGGGCGGTGGATGGCGGTGTGGGCGAGTGGATGGGAGGTGGGCGAGTGGATGGGCGGTGTGGGCGAAGTGGATGGGCGGGTGGGCGAGTGGATGGGTCGGGTGGGCGAGTGGAATGGGCGGGTGGAGCGCGTGGATGGGCGAGTTGATGGCGGGTGGGCGAGTGGATGGGCGGGTGGGCGAGTGGATGGGCGGGGGTGGGCGAGTGGATGGGCGGGTGGGGCGAGTGGATGGGCGGGTGGGCGAGTGGATGGGCGGGTGGGCGAGTGGATGGGCGGGTGGGCGAGTGGATGGGCGGGGTGGGCGAGTGGATGGGCGGGTGGGCGAGTGGATGGGCGGGTGGGCGGAGTGGATGGGCGGGTGGGCGAGTGGATGGGGGCGGGTGGGGGCGAGTGAATGGGCGGGTGGGCGAGTTGGATGGGCGGTGTGGGCGAGTGGATGGGCGGGGTGGCGAGTGGATGGGCGGGTGGGCGAGTGGATGGGCGGGTGGGCGAGTGGTATGGGCGGGTGGGCGAGTGGATGGGCGGGTGGGCGAGTGGATGGGCGGGTGGGCGAGTGGAGGGCGGGTGGGCGAGTGGACGGGCGGGTGGGCGAGTGACGGGCGGGGTGGGCGAGGTGGAGACGGGCGGGTGGGCGAGTGGCGGGCGGGTGGGCGAGTGGACGGGGGCGTGGGCGAGTGGACGGGCGGGTGGGCGAGTGGACGGGCGGGTGGGCGAGTGGACGGGGGGTGGGCGAGTGGACGGGGGTGGGCGAGTGCGGGCGGGTGGGCGAGTGGACGGGCGGGTGGGCGAGTGGACGGGCGGTGGGCGAGTGGACGGGCGGGTGGGCGAGTGGAGGGCGGTGGTGGGCGAGTGGACGGGGCGGGTGGGCGAGTGGACGGGGGGTGGGCGAGTGAGGGCGGGTGGTGGGCGAGTGGACGGGCGGTGGGCGAAGTGGAGGGCGGGTGGGCGAGTGGACGGGCGGGTGGGCGAGTGGACGGGCGGGGGGGCGAGTGGAGGGCGGGTGGGCGAGTGACGGGCGGGTGGGCGATGGTGGGCGGGTGGGCGAGTGGAGGGCGGGTGGGCGAGTGGACGGGCGGGTGGGCGAGTGGACGGGGGGTGGGCGAGTGGACGGGCGGGTGGCGAGTGGACGGCGGGTGGGCGAGTGGACGGGCGGGGTGGGCGAGTGGACGGGCGGGTGGGCGAGTGGACGGGCGGGTGGGCGAGTGGACGGGCGGGTGGGCGAGTGGACGGGCGGGTGGGCGAGTGGACGGGCGGGTGGGCGAGTGGACGGGCGGGTGGGCGAGTGGACGGGCGGGGTGGGCGAGTGGACGGGCGGGTGGGCGAGTGGAGGGCGGGGGTGGGCGAGTGGACGGGCGGGTGGGCGGTGGGACGGCGGGGGGCGAGTGGACGGGCGGTGTGGGCGAGGGAGGGCGGGTGGGCGAGTGGACGGGCGGGTGGGCGAGTGGACGGCGGGTGGGGCGAGTGGACGGGCGGGGGTGGGCGAGGTAGGGCGGGTGGGCGAGTGGACGGGCGGGTGGGCGAGTGGACGGGCGGGTGGCGCGAGTGGACGGGCGGGTGGGCGAGTGGACGGGCGGATTGGCGAGAGTGGACGGGCGGATTGGCGAGAGTGGACGGGCGGATTGGCGAGAGTGGACGGGCGGATTGGCGAGAGTGGATGGGCGGGTGGGCGAGTGGATGGGCGGGTGGGCGAGTGGATGGGTGGGTGGGCGAGTGGATGGGTGGGTGGGCGAGTGGATGGGTGGGTGGGCGAGTGGATGGGTGGGTGGGCGAGTGGATGGGTGGGTGGGCGAGTGGATGGGTGGGTGTTGTGACCTGCAGTGTGGCGAATGGGTGGGCGAGTGGATGGGTGGGTGTTGTGACCTGCAGTGTGGCGAATGGGTAGGCAAGTGGATGTGTGGTTGTTGTGATTTTCAGTGTGGTGAGTGTGTGGGCGAGTGAATGGTTATTGTTACCTCTTGTGTGGTGTGTGTGTGGGTAGGTGAGAGTGTGTGTGGGTAGGTGAGAGTGTGTGTGGGTAGGTGAGAGTGTGTGTGGGTAGGTGAGAGTGTGTGTGGGTATGTAAGAGTGTGTGTGGGTATGTAAGAGTGTGTGTGGGTAGGTAAGAGTGTGTGTGGGTAGGTGAGAGTGTGTGTGGGTAGGTGAGAGTGTGTGTGGGTAGGTGAGAGTGTGTGTGGGTAGGTAAGAGACTAAGAGTGTGTGTGGTGTCATGGTTAGCGCTACGCTATGAACCTGGCGACCCCAGTTCGATTCCCGCTCACGGCCACCACCAACACCACCAGTGACGATTCTCTGAACCGGTCCTGGTGCCTCCCCTAGGTCGACTCGGCCTCAAATGAGTACCTGGCACGGTGTGTAAACATCGCCACTGGGGAGACAAAGGCGGCCGGGCGTGGCGCTGGCCACCCACCCCATCGTGTGCCGTGCCGGCCTTCATAGCAGAGGTCGCAAATGGGTTTTAATTCCTTACCCGTACCCGGCCGCACCAGGGTCGCAAACGGGTACCCGTACCCGGCCTATACCCGTGTACCCTATGGGTAGGGTACATGGGTACGGGTACGGGTAGGGTACGGGTAGGCCGTGAGTCACTGGTGATTAACTGTTTGTCACTCATTTCCCAACGTACGGGTAGGGTATGGGTAGGGTATCGTGTAGGGTACGGGTATCGGGTACCCGGTTGCGACCTCTGGGATGAAGCCACGTTGCAGGCGCGGGTGGGTTGATTCTAGGAACTTGAATTGTGAGAAGAGACAAGACGTTGGGAAATGAGTGACAAACGGTGACTCACCAGTGACTCACGGCCTACCCGTACCCGGCCGCACCATGACGTCACAAAGCTCTGCCCCCCCCCCCCCCCCAAATAAAACCCAAAATAAAAGATGCTTCAAATCGCTTTAAACTATTGTCAAGTGCGTTTTTAATGTGGCGCTGCACTCTGATGTTGTAGGAGAAAACATTTAAAAGTCTATTTATTTAAGTAGAACGTGTTGTCTATATTTATTTAAAGTTGCGCATTTTGATGTGACGTCACATTTCTCACCCCCTCCCCCCTCGTCACACATCGTCACAAATGTCTGACCCACCCCCCAAGGTGCGTGACGTCATTTATGGACGGCCCCTTTTTTCTGGCAACAAAACAGCTGTGTTGGGTTTCGATTTAAAGCTTTCGTGACTGCAGGGATTCATATTCTTGGTTCTTTCGGTGAAGTCACGTAGAAGGGAAATAATAAAAAATATAAAACAATCAAATTTAACGAATATTTTTTTTTACTATTTTATTAACATAATACAACTTTTTTTATTATGAAAAAAAACATTTATTACTTCCCTTCTACGTGACTTTACCGAAAGAACCAAGAATATGAATCCCTGCAGTCACGAAAGCTTTAAATTGTCGTAAAGCAGTTATTGCTGCCGTAAAGTAAGTTGTAAAGCAGGTGTTGCTGCCGTAAAAGCAGTCTGGGCGTCGCGACAGTTATCGTAAAGTAGGTATTGTTGCCGTAAAGCAGGTTGTCGGAAAGCACGAATTGATACCGTAAAATAGGTTACCGTAAAGCAGGTGTTGTCGTAAAGCAGGTCTGCACGTCGCGAGGGCTGTCGTAAAGTAGGTATTGCTGTCGTTAAACAGGTCTATATGTCGTGAGGGTTGTCGTAAAGCAGGTTCACATGTCGCGACGATTGTCGTGAAGCAGGTTCACATGTCGCGACGATTGTCGTGAAGCAGGTTTGCACGTGATCTGGGGGCTGCTGAGCTCCCATTGGCTGCGGGGTGAGGCCCCGCCCACCGCCCATCTCCGGTGACGTCATCCGCCTGCGGCCCCCTTAAAGTTGAATTTGACTTCAAGTTCAGTCACAGGAGCTGCTGCTGCTACAGCTACATTAAAACTACTACGAAACTACAGCAGCTACAACTACTATACTGCAGCTACACTACCACTATACTACAGCTACTATACTGCAGCTATAATTACACTACAGCTATACTACAGCAGCTACCACTACACTTCTACAGCTACTATACTGCAGGTACAGCAGCTACTACTACACTACTACAGCTACTATACTCAAGCAACAGCAGCTACCACTACTACAGCAGCTACTATACTGCCGCAGCTACAGCTACACTACCACTACACTAGCACAGCTGCTCTACGGCAGCTACTACAGCTACAGCAGCTACTACAGCTACTATACTCAAGCAACAGCAGCTACCACTACACTACTACAGCTACTATACTGCAGCTACAGCAGCTACCACTACACTACTACAGCTACTATACAGCAGCTACCACTACACTACTACAGCTACTATACTGCAGCTACTACTACACTACTACAGCTACTATACTGCAGCTACTACTACACTACTACAGCTACTATACTGCAGCTACTACTACACTACTACAGCTACTATACTGCAGCTACAGCAGCTACTACTACACTACTACAGCTACTATACTGCAGCTACTACTACACTACTACAGCTACTATACTGCAGCTACTACTACACTACTACAGCTACTATACTGCAGCTACTACTACAGCTACTATACTGCAGCTACTACTACACTACTACAGCTACTATACTGCAGCTACTACTACACTACTACAGCTACTATACTGCAGCTACTACTACACTACTACAGCTACTATACTGCAGCTACTACTACACTACTACAGCTACTATACTGCAGCTACTACTCCACTACTACAGCTACTATACTGCAGCTACTACTACACTACTACAGCTACTATACTGCAGCTACTACTATACTACTACAGCTACTATACTGCAGCTACTACTACACTACTACAGCTACTATACTGCAGCTACTACTACACTACTACAGCTACTATACTGCAGCTACTACTACACTACTACAGCTACTATACTGCAGCTACTACTACACTACTACAGCTACTATACTGCAGCTACAGCAGCTACTACAGCTACACTACAGCAGCTACCACTGTACTAGGTGAGTGGGTAAGTAGGTGAGTGGGTGAGTAGGTGAGTGGGTGAGTAGGTGAGGGGGTGAGTAGGTGAGGGGGTGAGTAGGTGAGTGGGTGAGTAGGTGAGTGGTTGAGTAGGTGAGTGGTTGAGTAGGTGAGTGGGTGAGTAGGTGAGTGGTTGAGTAGGTGAGTGGTTGAGTAGGTGAATGGGTGAGTAGGTGAGGGGGTGAGTAGGTGAGTGGGTGAGTAGGTGAGTGGTTGAGTAGGTGAGTGGTTGAGTAGGTGAGTGGTTGAGTAGGTGAGTGGGTGAGTAGGTGAGTGGTTGAGTAGGTGAGTGGGTGAGTAGGTGAGTGGGTGAGTGGTTGAGAAGGTGAGTGGGTGAGTGGTTGAGAAGGTGAGTGGGTGAGTAGGTGAGTGGTTGAGTAGGTGAGTGGGTGAGTAGGTGAGTGGGTGAGTAGGTGAGTAGGTGAGGGGGTGAGTAGGTGAGGGGGTGAGTAGGTGAGTGGGTGAGTAGGTGAGTGTTTAGGTGAGTTGGTTAGCCAGTGTGTGAGTGAGCATATGAATGGGGGTGTGAGTATGCAGGTGAGTGAGCAGATGAGTGAGTTGTTATGTGAGTGGGTGAGTGTGCGTATGAATGGGTGTGTCAGTTCAGGTGAGTGTATTATAGTTATGCAAGTAGGTGAGTGATTTGGTGAGTCGGTGGGGTGAGTGAACAGGTGAGTGAGCAGGTGAGTGAGTGGTTATGTAAGTGGGTGAGTGATTTTGTGAGTGAGTTATGTAAGTGGGTGAGTGATTTGGTGAGTGAGTGAGTGGTTATGTATGTGGGTGAGTGAGTAGGTGGGTGGGTGAGTGAGTGGGTGAGTGAGTGAGTGGGTGAGTGAGTAGGTGGGTGGGTGAGTGAGTGGGTGGGTGAGTGAGTGGCTAGGTGAGTGAGTGAGTCAGTGAGTGAGTGGGTGGGTGAGTGAGTTGGTGGGTGAAGGATTTGGTGAGTGAGTAATTGAGTTGGTGGGTGAGTGAATTGGTGAGTGAGTGAGTGGTTACCTGAGTAGGTGAGTGACTGCGTGGGTGAGTGAGTAGGTGGGTGAGTGAGTTGGTGCGTGAAGGATTTGGTGAGTGAGTAGTTGAGGGGGTGAGTGAGTGGTTAACTGAGTAGGTGAGTGAGTGGGTGGCTAGGTGAGTGAGTGAGTGGGTGAGTGAGTTGGTGAGTGAAGGATTTGGTGAGTGAGTAATTGAGTTGGTGGGTGAGTGAATTGGTGAGTGAGTGAGTGGTTACCTGAGTAGGTGAGTGACTGCGTGGGTGAGTGAGTAGGTGGGTGAGTGAGTTGGTGCGTGAAGGATTTGGTGAGTGAGTAGTTGAGGGGGTGAGTGAGTGGTTAACTGAGTAGGTGAGGTAGTGGGTGGGTGAGTGAGTAGGTGAATGAGTAGGTGGGTGAGTGAGTTGGTGAGTGAGGGAATTGGTGAGTGAGTGGGTGGCTAGGTGAGTGAGTGGGTGGGTGAGTGAGTGAGTGGGTGAGTGAGTAGGTGGGTGGGTGAGTGAGTGGGTGGGTGAGTGGGTGAGTGAGTGGGTGGGTGAATGAGTGGGTGGGTGAGTGAGTAGGTGAATGAGTAGGTGAGTGGGTGGCTAGGTGAGTGAGTAGGTGAGTGGGTGGGTGGGTGAGTGAGTAGGTGAATGAGTAGGTGAATGAGTAGGTGAGTGAGTAGGTGAGTGAGTGGGTGGCGAGGTGAGTGAGTCGGTGAGTGAGTGGGTGGGTGAGTAAGTGGGTGGGTGAGTGAGTGAGTGGGTGAGTGAATTGGTGGGTGAGTGAGTGAGTGGGTGAGTGAGTGAGTGGGTGAGTGAGTGGATGAGTGAGTGGGTGGGTGAGTGAGTGGGTGGGTGAGTGAGTAGGTGAGTGAGTGGGTGGGTGAATGAGTAGGTGAGTGGGTGGCTGAGTAGGTGAATGAGTAGGTGAGTGAGTGAGTAGGTGAGTGAGTAGGTGAATGAGTAGGTGAGTGAGTAGGTGAGTGAGTGGGTGGCTAGGTGAGTGAGTAGGTGAGTGAGTGGGTGGCTAGGTGAGTGAGTGGGTGGGTGAGTGAGTGGGTGAGTGAGTCGGTGGGTGAGTGAATTGGTGAGTGACGAGGTGAGCGTCACAATGACATTTCTTTCACACACGGTGCATAATTACACAGCCAAAGATCCCCCGTGTAGCCTTAATAGACTGTTCGGGCAAGTGCTGTTAGCGAGTAGCAGCGCCTATGATTATTCTGTTGCGTGTAGTCACTCTAAGATGTTTCTTGTGCATGTTTTTGTTTGTTTTGTTGCACCCGAGTCAAGAGCCGCATGGCTCACAGGGTTATCTCCATATACATGATCTCCACATATATAAAAGAGAAAGTTGTGATTATGCGCGTCTGTTCAAAATGTTTAGCGTACTTCCCGACATGCAACAAACTTGAAATTTGACATGTGGGTACTGTCCAGACTGTACACCATGCAAACATTATAAAAATACACTTTTGTGTTTTTTTGGGTGGGGGAGCTCAATAATGCATTAATTTTTTTTGCACGGCAAGTGAGCTGTGACGTCACGTCTGTCACGTGACCCGCGCACGTGGAAGCGTGACGCGTTGTAGTGTAGCGGGTAGTGTAGTAGTGTAGTGGTTGTAGTGTAGCGGGTAGTGTAGTAGTGTAGTGGTTGTAGTGTAGCGGGTAGTGTAGTAGTGTAGTGGTTGTAGTGTAGCAGGTAGTGTAGTAGTGTAGTGGTTGTAGTGTAGCGGGTAGTGTAGTAGTGTAGTGGTTGTAGTGTAGCAGGTAGTGTAGTAGTGTAGTGGTTGTAGTGTAGCAGGTAGTGTTGTAGTGTAGCAGGTAGTGTAGTGGTTGTAGTGTAGCGGTTAGCGCTACGCCACGCTACGAACCCGGCGACCCGAGTTCGATTCCCGCTCACGGCCACCACCGGTGACGATTATATCAACCGCTCCTGGGCCTCCCCTAGGTCGACTCAGCCTCAAACGAGTAACTGGTGTGGTGTGTGAACAGGGGGTAGTAAAGCTCGTACCTAATGACTGAAACTGAAGAGACGCATGAGGGATGGTGCAGGCCAACACCACGCCCGGCCGTGATGTACCACCACCAGCGCATCACACCGTGAGCGTTCCGCCTGCCAGATAACGAAACCTTCCAGCAGTGTCGACAAGACGCCGGCTTCGGCTTTGCCGGCACTCATCAGCACTCATCAGCACTCATCAGCAAGCTTCAGCCCCCCACCAGCGGCTCACACCGTGAGCGTTCCGCCTGCCAGACAACGAACGAAACCTTCCAGCAGTGTCGAGAAGACGCCGGCTTCAGCTTTGCCAGCACTCATCAGCCACTCATCAGCCACTCATCAGCCACTCATTAGCCACTCATTAGCCACTCATCAGCACTCATCAGCACTCATCAGCAAGCTTCAGCCCCCCCGAAGTAACCGCCATCGTGACGACGTCGCTTGAAGGGACCCACTGTTCACGGATCGTCGTGGTGGTGTTGGTGTTGCACGTGGCCATTGTGAACCCACCGAGACTTTTCCCCGTCATAGGAATGTGGAATTTGCACCGCTTGCTCGGGGATATCGGCCTCGTGTGAACGAGCTGGGTGCATCGTAACAGGTGGCGGCGGTGGCTTAGGCCTTCATCCAGCAGTGGAGAGACCCTGGCCGGTGGTGGTGATGATGATGATGGTGATGATGATGATGGTGATGATGATGATGGTGATGATGATGATGGTGATGATGATGATGGTGATGATGATGGTGATGATGATGATGGTGATGATGATGGTGATGATGATGGTGATGATGATGATGGTGATGATGATGGTGATGATGGTGATGATGATGATGGTGATGATGATGGTGATGATGATGATGATGATGGTGATGATGATGATGATGTGATGATGGTGATGATGGTGATGATGATGATGATGGTGATGATGGTGATGATGATGGTGATGGTGATGATGGTGATGATGATGATGGTGATGATGATGATGATGGTGATGATGATGGTGATGATGATGATGGTGATGATGATGATGATGGTGATGATGATGATGGTGATGATGGTGATGATGATGGTGATGATGATGATGGTGATGATGATGGTGATGATGATGATGGTGATGATGATGGTGATGATGATGATGATGGTGATGATGATGGTGATGATGGTGATGATGATGATGGTGATGATGATGGTGATGATGATGGTGATGATGGTGATGATGGTGATGATGATGATGGTGATGATGGTGATGATGATGATGGTGATGATGTGATGATGGTGATGATGATGATGTGATGATGATGATGATGATGGTGATGATGATGATGATGGTGATGATGATGATGATGGTGATGGTGATGATGATGATGATGGTGATGATGATGGTGATGATGATGATGATGATGGTGATGATGATGATGATGGTGATGATGATGGTGATGATGATGATGGCACTAACATCGGGGGTGAGCGTGGGCGAGCAAGCGAGGTTGAGTAATTGTGGCAGTTGCTATGATTGCGACATTGTTGCTCGCCGGGTCCCATCAGATACGGAGTAATCACGCGCCAGGCGAGAGGAGAATTTTAATCCTGGATCTCAGCGGCGCTGGCTCGGCATCCCTGCCATGGCCATTGTGGACCGCCAGGACCCAGGGCTCGAACCCAGGGTCTCTGTGTGTCTGACATGGCCATTGTGAACCCACAGACCCAGGACCCAGGGCTCGAACCCAGGCTATCTGTGTCTCTGACACGGCCATTGTGAACCCACTGAGAGAGAGACCCAGACCCAGGGCTCGAACCCAGGGTCTCTGTGTGTCTGACACGGCCATCGTGAACCCACAGAGAGAGACACCCAGACCCAGGGCTTGAACCCAGGCTCTCAGTGTCTCTGACACGGCCATTGTGAACCCACAGAGAGAGAGACACCCAGACCCAGGGCTCGAACCCAGGGTCTCAGTGTCTCTGACACGGCCATTGTGAACCCACAGAGAGAGAGACACCCAGACCCAGGGCTCGAACCCAGGGTCTCAGTGTCTCTGACACGGCCATTGTGAACCCACAGAGAGAGAGACACCCAGACCCAGGGCTCGAACCCAGGGTCTCTGTGTCTCTGACACGGCCATCGTGAACTCACTGAGAGAGACACCCAGACCCAGGGCTCGAACCCAGGGTCTCAGTGTCTCTGACACGGCCATTGTGAACCCACAGAGAGAGAGACACCCAGACCCAGGGCTCGAACCCAGGGTCTCTGTGTCTCTGACACGGCCATTGTGAACCCACAGAGAGAGAGACACCCAGACCCAGGGCTCGAACCCAGGGTCTCTGTGTCTCTGACACGGCCATCGTGAACTCACTGAGAGAGACACCCAGACCCAGGGCTTGAACCCAGCGTGTTGGTGGTGCTGGATGAGAGTATTGGCACGAGGAGATAAGACAGAGATAGATAAGAGAGACACATGTAGATAAAGCAGGGGGGGGGAGGGAGATAGAGAGAGGGGGGGGGGGAGACGACTCCGCTTTCTCTGGCGCAACATCAGAGTTCGTGCGGTGAGCCGAAACGTCGCGGTTCTAAAGCGATGGCATCTCCTGACGGATCGTTCGTGAGTGGGACGCTCGTTTTTCTCGGGGGCTACCTGTGCTTGTGTGCGTGAGGCTCCTGCTGCTATAAATATCTGTAACATGATAAGCCACTAGCCTCGTTGAACTGCCATTTGTTGCGGCTAGGTCACTTGTGAAACAAGCTGCATAGCTCAGAGGTTTCTATAGCTGGTACAAAAAAATGTTGTTCAGTTTAGTCAGTTTAACACGTGCGAGGCTTTAGCGACCAATATTATTCATAATCTTCAACGTTTTTTGGGTTTAGATCACGTTATTTATAAATGTGTCGTAACCCTCCACCACCCGACACGGCCAATCAGCAAAAAAGTGTCACGTTGATGACTAAAGAAAAATAGTTCACTGCTTTAGCCCACCGGTGTGTTGAAGCGTGAAACCACAACATTTACAATGTTTGAGTTGTACGACGTTTCGCTGGTAATTGCATTTAGCATCATCGGCCAATTCGCCAGATGCAATTACCAGCGAAACGTCGTACTGAAAAACTGTAAATGTTGTGGTTTCACGCTTCAACACACCAGTGGGCTAAAGCAGTGAACTATTTTGTCTTTTGTCAACGTGACACTTTTTTAAATCCTTTATATTAAGTTCGCTTGCTTGCTTAGGACCGTGCAAATCTTTTGGGTCGTTTTTAACCCACTTCCCGTGATCCAATCGAGCTGACATTTTCCACACAGACTCGTTGTGCGTGACAATTTATTTTCGTGAAATTTTTTTTCCTAAATGTTACACTTTTTAGGACAAAAATATTATATTTAATTACCAATTGCTTAATGGTGCAATGCAATCATCTGACCCATAGGTGGCAGCCATCTCAAGCCAGAGGACGAGAGGACTCGAGCCGCCACGCATATAAAGGATTTATAGTGAAAAACTTTGTTTTTACGGGTTAATTTTTTACTGATTGGCCGTGTCGGGTGGTGGAGGGTTACGACACATTTATAAATAACGCGATCTAAACCCAAAAAACGTTGATTATGAATGAGTTAAATTTTATTTCTTATTGATTTGTTTACCTTTCCTATACGATTGTTTTCGTGTTGTTGGTTGTTGGAACTTTCTGACCCGCCCCGACTGGACGACTGCGAAAAAGAGCTTCATAGCTCATCGGATTTCTCTTCCAGGATCAACACAGATTCTGATTCTGTTCACACTTCGTCATCTCCCTGTGCGGTTGCGAGCCTCACCGTGTGCTCCTGCTGCTGCTCCTGCTGCTGCTGCTACTACTGCTGCTGCTCCTGCTGCTGCTCCTGCTGCTGCTGCTACTACTGCTACTGTTGCTACTGCTGCTACTACTGCTGCTGCTGCTCCTGCTGCTACTGTTGCTACTACTGCTGCTACTGCTGCTGCTGCTACTACTGCTACTGTTGCTACTGCTGCTACTACTGCTACTACTGCTACTACTGCTACTGTTGCTACTGCTGCTACTACTGCTGCTGCTGCTCCTGCTGCTACTGCTGCTACTGCTGCTACTACTGCTGCTGCTGCTACTACTGCTACTGTTGCTACTGCTGCTACTACTGCTACTACTGCTGCTGCTGCTCCTGCTGCTACTGCTGCTACTACTACTGCTGCATCTGCTGCTGCTGCTGCTGCTACTACTGCTGCTACTACTACTGCTGCATCTGCTGCTGCTGCTGCTGCTGCTACTACTACTACTGCTGCATCTGCTGCTGCTACTACTGCTACTGTTGCTACTGCTGCTACTACTGCTGCTGCTGCTCCTGCTGCTGCTCCTGCTACTGCTGCTACTACTGCTGCTGCTGCTGCTACTACTGCTGCTGCTGCTGCTGTATCTGCTGCTGCTGCTACTGCTGCTGCTTGCTCTGTGCTCAGGCGATGGACCCCCGTTCCCTGCTGCATGGGGGGTACCACCACGCGGTGCTGCGGCGCTGGCAGGGGAACGGCGCCGCCTTCAGCGCCGACAACCTGGTCTACCCACTCTTCGTCACGTGAGACGCACAGACAAAGGTCCCCCGGGCAGCCTCTGGACGGGCTGCAGGGGTTGGCAAGTGCCGTTAGCGAAGGGCAGCAGCAGCAGCAGCAGCGCCCTATGAAGGCCCAGAGATACACAGATACTCGCAGATATTCACAGATACTCGCAGATACACACAGAGACTCGCAGAGACTCACAGATACTCAGAGACTCAGAGACCCGCAGAGACCCGCAGAGACCCGCAGAGACTCACAGAGACCCGCAGAGACTCACAGAGACCCACAGAGACTCACAGAGACCCACAGAGACCCGCAGAGACTCACAGAGACTCACAGAGACCCACAGAGACCCACAGAGACCCACAGAGACCCACAGAGACTCGTAGAGACTCACAGATACTCACAGATACTCACAGATACTCGTAGAGACTCACAGATACTCACAGATACTCACAGAGACTCATTGGCTCGTAGAGACTCAGAGACCCGCAGAGACCCGCAGAACCCCACAGAGACCCACAGAGACCCACAGAGACCCACAGAGACCCACAGAGACTCAGAGACCCACAGAGACCCACAGAGACCCACAGAGACCCACAGAGACGCACAGAGACCCACAGAGACCCACAGAGACCCACAGAGACCCACAGAGACCCACAGAGACGCACAGAGACCCACAGAGACCCACAGAGACGCACAGAGACGCACAGAGACCCACAGAGACTCACAGAGACCCACAGAGACTCACAGAGATAGAGACTCACAGAGCCTCATAGGAGACTCACAGAAACTCAGAGATCCAGAGCCTCATAGGAGACTCGCAGATACTCACAGATACTCACAGAGACTCACATATACTCACAGAGACCCACAGAGACCCACAGAGACCAACAGAGACTCACAGAGATACACAGAGACCCACAGAGACCCACAGAGACCCACAGAGACCCACAGAGACTCACAGAGATACACAGAGACTCACAGAGCCTCATAGGAGACTCACAGAAACTCAGAGATACAGAGCCTCATAGGAGACTCACGTAGACTCACAGAGATTTCGAGCCTCAAAGAGAACTGGCTGAGAGAGACGCCCAGACCCAGGGCTCGAACCCAGGTGGTCACCTTGGGGCAGCACCACGCCCGGCCGCCTTTGTCTCCCCCCAGTGACGTTTTACTACACACCGTACCAGGTACTCCTCATTTGAGGCCGAGTTGACCTAGGGGAAGCCCAGGACCGGTTCAGATAATCATCACCGGTGTTGGCTGTGAGCGGGAATCGAACTCGGGTCGTAGCCGGGCTCGTAGCGTAGCGCGCTAACCGCTACACCACCGCTCCCCCTACACAAAGGTTCCCCGTGTAGCCTTCACGGGCTGTAGGGGCAAGTGCTGTTAGCGAGCGGCACCTACGAGGGCTGTGAGGGGTGGGTGGCTACCAGCACCACGCCCGGCCACCACCTTCAAGTCTCCCATGCTGAAGTGTTCACATCACACACGGTGCACACTTAGGGCTGAGTCGACCTAGGTGATGCCCAGGACCAGCTCTGATATCACTCAACAGCAGCGAGTCACACACACACATCTCGTGGTGCAGCGTTGATGTTGGCCGCTGATGTTGGCCACGAGTAGGAATCGAACTCGGGTTGTGATGTTTCTCTCTCCCGCAGGGATGATGCTGATGGGCTTGAGCCCATTGCAAGTTTACCTGGGCTGGCCAGGTCAGTGGAACACCTGTGTGTGTGTGTGTCTGTATGTGTGTTAGTGAGTCTGTGTTGGTGAATGTGTGTTAGTGTGTGTGTGTGTTAGTGTGTGTGTGTGTTAGTGAGTGTGTGTTGGTGAGTGTGTGTTAGTGTGTGTGTTAGTGAGGGTCTGTGTGTGTTAGTGTGTGTGTTAGTGTGTGTGTGTGTTAGTGTGTGTGTGTGTTAGTGAGGGTCTGTGTGTGTTATTGAGTGTGTCTGTGTGTGTTATTGAGTGTGTCTGTGTGTGTGTCTGTGTTTGTCTGTGTGTTTTAGTGAGTGTCTCTGTGTGTGTGTCTGTGTGTGTGTTAGTGAATGTGTGTTAGTGAGTGTGTGTGTTAGTGAGTGTGTGTGTGTTTGTGTGTGTTAGTGAGTGTGTGTTAGTGAGTGTGTGTTAGTGAGAGTGTGTGTGTGTGTCTGTATGTGTGTTAGTGAGTGTCTGTGTGTCTCTCTGTGTGTGTTAGTGAGTATGTCTGTGTGTGTGTGTGTCTGTGTTTGTGTGTGTTAGTGAGTGTGTCTGTGTGTGTTAGTGAGTGTGTCTGTGTGTGTTAGTGAGTGTGTCTCTGTGTGTGTCTCTGTGTGTGTGTCTGTGATATGTAGTAGCTACATATGTAGCTACTACATGTGTAGCTACACATGTAGTAGCTACAAATGTAGCTACGGGCCCCGCACTTTCAAGGCCCCCGCGCTAAACGCTATCAAGCTATCAATTCCGGTTCAGTGATCCTGCACTTGCTCTATTACTCTAGTACTATACCGCCTTCGACTTTTACGAACGACCGGTGTGTTTAAGGTTAGCGATTTGTCGTACTATCTGGCTGTATAGCAAATGAAAAAAAACACAATTACTTTACTGGGCAAGTAAAACATTTGTGTGTTTTAATATTTGAGGTTTTTTTTAAATTGAGGGCCCCTTTATAGCAACAAAAGCTACAGGCCCCGCACTCGCTTTATCCGGCACTGGTCAGAATGTCCATGCCCGGGAGACACTGGGTTCAAGTCCCCTGCAGTTGTGTGTGTGTCTGTGTGTGTGTGTCTGTGTGTGTCTGTGTGTGTCTGTGTGCGTGTCTGTGTGTGTGTCTGTGTGTGTCTGTGTGCGTGTGTGTGTGTGTGTCTGTGTGTGTGTGCCTGTGTGTGTGTCTGTGTGTGTCTGTGTGCGTGTCTGTGTGTGTCTGTGTGAGTGTGTCTGTGTGTGAGTGTGTCTGTGTGTGTGTGTCTGTGTGTGTGTGTCTGTGTGTGTCTGTGTGCGTGTCTGTGTGTGTGTCTGTGTGTGTGTGTCTGTGTGTGTGTCTGTGTGTCTGTGTGAGTGTGTGTGTGTACGTGTGTGTGTGTGTGTACGTGTGTGTGTGTGTCTGTGTGTGTCTCTGTGTGTGTATGTCTGTGTGTGTCTGTGTGTGTCTCTGTGTCTGTGTGTGTGTGAGTGTGTGTGTGTCTGTGTGTGTGTGTACGTGTGTGTGTGTGTGTGTCTGTGTGTGTCTCTGTGTGTGTGTGTCTGTGTGTGTGTGAGTGTGTGTGTGTGTGTACGTGTGTGTGTGTGTGTGTCTGTGTGTGTCTCTGTGTGTGTGTGTCTGTGTGTGTGTGTGTGTCTGTGTGTCTGTGTGTGTGTACGTGTGTGTGTGTGTCTGTGTGTGTCTCTGTGTGTGTGTGTCTGTGTGTGTGTGAGTGTGTGTGTGTCTGTGTGTGTGTGTGTACGTGTGTGTGTGTGTGTGTGTCTGTGTGTGTCTCTGTGTGTGTGTCTGTGTGTCTCTGTGTGTGTGTGTCTGTGTGTGTCTCTGTGTGTGTGTGTCTGTGTGTGTCTCTGTGTGTGTGTGTCTGTGTGTGTCTCTGTGTGTGTGTGTCTGTCTGTGACGATAATCCAACCCAGGCCATGCACCTCGTCTAGCTCGACTCAGCCTCAAACTGAGTGTCCCGGTGTCGGTGCGTCTGTGAAACACCGGGACGCCCACCCACCATCCACGCACCACCCACCCACCATCCACCCACCCCCCACCCACCCACCCACTCACCAACCCATCCACCACCCACCCACCCACCACCCACACATCCACCCACCCACCCACCATCCACCCACACACCCACACACCCACCCACACACACACCCACCACCCACCCACCCCACCACCCGCCACCCACTCACCCACCATCCACCCACCACCCACCCACCATCCACCATCCACCCACCCACCCACCCACCACCCACCATCCACCCACCACCCACACACCCACCCACCACCCACCCACCACCCACCCACCATCCACCCACCACGCACCCACCCACCACCCACCCCCCACCCACCCACTCACCCACTCACCCACCCACCACCACCCACCACCCACCCACCAACCCACCCACCCACCACCCACCCACCAACCCACCCACCAACCATCCACACACCCACCCACCAACCCACCCACGCCACGTGCCGCCCCCCGTGGGTTCTGCTCGCAAGCGTCTGAGCCGGCTGTGCGGGGTGGTGGGGGTCTTTGTCGTCGTCAGGTATGGAGTGAACAGGCTGGGGCCTGTGCTGGAACCCCTCATCAAGAACGGCCTCAAGGCCGTGCTCATATTCGGGGTCCCTGCCAAGCTCCCCAAGGTGACCGCCTGGGTTCGAGGCCTGGGTCTGGGTGTCTGTCTCTCTCAGTGGGTTCACAATGGCCGTGTCAGAGATACTGAGACCCTGGGTTCGAGCCCTGGGTCTGGGTGTCTCTCTCTCAGTGGGTTCTCTGTGAGTCTCTGTGAGTCTCTGTGTGTCTCTGTGAGTCTCTGTGTATCTCAGTGGGTTCTCTGTGTATCTCTGTGACTCTCTGTGTATCACTGTGAGTCTGTGAGTCTCTGTGTATCTCAGTGGGTTCTCTGTGTATCTCTGTGACTCTCTGTGTATCGATGTAAGTGTCTGTGAGTCTCTGTGAGTCTCCTACGAGACTCTGCATATCACTGTGAATATCTGTGTATCACTGTGAGTCTCTGAGTCTCTGTGAGTCTCTGTGATTCTCTGTGAGTCTCTGTGTATCTCTGTGTATCTCTGTGTGTCTTTGTGAGTCTCTGTGTGTCTCTGTGTGTCTCTGTGAGTCTCTGTGAGTCTCCTCTGAGACTGTGTATCTCTGAGTCTCTGTGTATCTCTATGTGTCTCTGTGTATCGCTGTGAGCCTCTGTGAGCCTCTGTGAGCCTCTGTGAGCCTCTGTGAGTCTCTGTGAGTCTCCTCTGAGACTCTGTGTATGTGCCCCGCCTGTGTCTGTGTGTGTGTGAAGGATGTGGGGAGCGGTGGTGCAGCGGTTAGCGCTACGCTGCGCTACGAACCCAACATCCCGAATTCAATTCCCGCTCACGGCCAACACCGGTGACGATTTATCTGGACCGGTACTGGGCTTCTCCTAGGTCGACTCGGCCTCAAACGAGTACCTGGGTGTGACGCATAAAAACATCGCCACTGGGGGAGACAAAGGCGGCCGGGCGTGGTGCCGACCACCCACCCCCTCGTGCGCCACAGCGCCGGCAGCCTTCGTAGATGTTGCTACTCGCTAACAGCACTTGCCCCGACAGTCTGTCACAGCCTCCGCCTTTGTCTTTGTCTCGTGAAGGACGCGAGAGGCTCCAGCGCCGACTGCCCGGCCTGCCCGGCCATCCTCGCCGCCCGTGCGCTCCGCGACCTCTTCCCGGGCCTGCTGGTGGCGTGCGACGTCTGCCTGTGCCCCTACACCAGCCACGGGCACTGCGGTAACGACGGGTTCCACGCCGCGCACGGAGTCGGCGGCGAACGCCATCGCTCTCCGTACACGCAGACGCAGCGGCGACGGCCGCCGCCATTAAGTGGCGGTGGCGTCACCGCGGCGACTGTGCCAGGCTAGGTGCACTTGGAGGTCACGATGTGGAGTGTGTGGAAGGCTCGCTGCGGGCAGGAGGACACGGGACAGATCCGTGTGGTGCCGTGGGTCGACTGACTGAGATGGCTGCCGTAATGCACCACCCGTGCCTCACACTGTGGCAACTCGCTGTGCTTTAGCCGCCCGGCGCTCCGCTCGTTGTTGTGAGCGTCGCTCCTCCGCCCCTCCGCTGTTGCCGGAGGGCGACTGCCTCCAACCGCCCGGTAGCCTCGGAGTGCACCTAGCCGGGCACTGCCCTGTAGCGTCCTTCACGAGTCTCCTCCTCATCCACAGAGGCCTCTATCACGCTGCTCCTCACGCTCCGTGACGTGTGTGTCGTGTGTCGTGTGCTGTGCGTGTGCCGTGTGTCGTGTGTCCGTGTCGTGTGTGGCGTGCCGTGCGCGTGCCGTGTGCGTGCCGTGTGCCGTGTGCCGTGTGCTGTGCGTGTGCCGTGTGCCGTGTGCCGTGTGCCGTGTGCCGTGTGCCGCGTGCCGTGTGCCGTGTGTCGTGTGCCGTGTGCCGCGTGCCGCGTGCCGTGTGCCGTGTGCCGTGTGCCGTGTGCCGTGTGTGCCGTGTGCCGTGTGCCGTGTGCGTGTCGTGTGCCGCGTGCGGTGCGTGACCTAGGCATCCTGCGAGCGGACGGGACTCTGGACAACGAAGCTTCGTGCCAGCGTCTGGCCGAGGTGGCGCTGGCTTACGCCAAAGCCGGTGAGTGTGGAGCCTCCGGCCCGCAGCGGCGCCTCCTTCACACGGGAGGCTCCTGACAAACGCGCACTCGCACGCTCTCACATGCTCACATGCTCACACGCACGCTTGCTCACACGCACGCATGCACGCAGCCCACACGCACGCATGCTCACACGCACGCTCGTTCACTCGCTCGCTCACACGCTCGCACGCTCACACACACGCACGCACAGACACACGCACAGACACACACGCACAGACACACACGCACAGACACACACGCACAGACACACACGCACAGACACACACAGACACACACGCACACAGACACACACACAGACACACACACAGACACACACACAGACACACACACAGACACACACACACAGACACACACACACAGACACACACACACAGACACACACACACAGACACACACACACAGACACACACACACACAGACACACACACGTGCTCACACATCGGCTCGACAAGCCGAGGCACGAGAGGAGGAGGAGGAAGTCGACGTGGTTGACGCCGTGCCGTGCCGCTGCTGGATGTTGTGAGCCAGGCTGCCAGGTGATCGCGCCGAGCGACATGATGGACGGCAGGATCGGAGCCATCAAGCGCATCCTCATCGACAACGGCTTGGCCAATCAGGTGCCGGAGCTCCGTCTAGCCCCACCCCTCACGCTGACACTCGGCACCACTCGAGCACTGGACCACAGCGCTTTGCACGAACACCGATGTTGGCACTCACTCATTCACTCATTTATTCACTCACCAACCAACCCACTCAATCACCCACCCACCCACTCACTCAATCACCCACCCACTAATTGACTCACTCACTCATCCACTCATTCATTCACTCACCAACCCACTCACTCATTCACTCACTCATTCACTCACTCATTTACTCACTTACTCATCCACTCATTCATTCACTCACCAACCCACTCATTCACTCACTCACCAACCCACTCACTCAATCACCCACCCAGTAATTGACTCACTCACTCATCCACTCATTCATTCACTCACCAACCCACTCATTCACTCACTCACCAACCCACTCACTCAATCACCCACCCAGTAATTGACTCACTCACTCATCCACTCATTCATTCACTCACCAACCCACTCATTCACTCACCAACCCACTCACTCATTCACTCACTCACCAACCCACTCACTCAATCACGCACCCAGTAATTGACTCACTCATCCACTCACTCACCAACCCACTCATTCACTCACTCACCCACTCATTCACTCACTCACCAACCCACTCACTCAATCACGCACCCACTAATTAACTCACTCACTCATCCACTCATTCATTCACTCACCAAACCACTCACTCATTCACCCACCCACTCACTCAATCACTCAATCACCCACCCACTAACTGACTCACTTATCCACTCATTCATTCACTCACCAACCCACTCATTCACTCACTCACCAACCCACTCACTCAATCACCCACCCAGTAATTGACTCACTCACTCATCCACTCATTCATTCACTCACCAACCCACTCACTCATTCACTCACTCATTCACTCACTCATTCACTCACTCATCTACTCATTCATTCACTCACCAACCCACTCACTCAATCACGCAGCCACTAATTGACTCGCTCACTCATCCACTCATTCATTCACTCACCAACCCACTCACTCATTCACTCACTCATTCACTCACTCATTCACTCACTCATCCACTCATTCATTCACTCACCAACCCACTCATTCTCTCACTCACCAACCCACTCACTCAATTACGCACCCACTAATTGACTCACTCATCCACTCACTCATTCACTCACCAACCCACTCATTCACTCACTCACCCACCCACTCATTCATTCACTCACCAACCCACTCACTCGCCCACCCACTAATTGACTCACTCACTCATCCACTCATTCATTCACTCACCAACCCACTCACTCGCCCGCCCACCAATTAACTCGCTCGCTCACCCTCTCAACTCACCCACTCAACTCACCCTTGCAAATGAGACTCATCCACGCTGACCTCCCAAGTGCTCACCCGGTGAGCGCCAAGTCCAGCTGCCTGGCCTCGGCGTTCAGCTCGTTTGCCGATTCAGGTCGCCGCAGTAACCTCTACGCAGCCAACTCACGGTTGCCATGGGAACTCCATCTGCGCAACCAACTCGCGGTTGCCATGGGAACTCCATCTGCGCGGTGCGGTACCCTGACCCCCCTCCCCCCGATTCCTGTCCCTGTCCATCCGACCGCAGGTCTCCATCATGAGCTACAGCGCAAAGTTCGCTTCCTGTTTCTACGGCCCGTTCCGGTGAGTGGTGCATTGTGGGTAGATTGCAGCAGGGCCAGTTTACCCACTCGCCCGCTCGCTCATTCGCCCACTCACCCACTCACTCACTCACCCCACTCACCCACTCAGTCACCTACTCACTCATCCACCCACTCACCCACACACTCACTCACCCACTCACTCGCGCACTCAGTCACTAACCCACTCACTCATCCACCCACTCATCCACCCACTCACCCACCCACTTACACCCACAAGACAGACATAATTGGCAGCAGCAGGATCTTCGTGTCCACCCGACACTTTGCCGGTGGGCATTGCACAGACGAGAGGCCGGTGTGTGTGTGTGTGAGAGAGACAATGACGATGGTGGTGGTGGTGGTGATAATGACGGTGAGTGCGCGTGCGCCCGTGCGCGTCAGGGCCTCGATCAGCCGCATTCTGAACGAGCATTCTGAACGATCCCCGTCCGCTCAGAGTGGACGCTAACGATCTGTGGTGGTCTCCGGCCACTCAGAGTGGACGCTAACGATCTGTGGTGGTCTCTGGCCACTCAGAGTGGACGCTAACCTTGAACTGTTAGTTTACTATGCCAGGTTAAGGGTCCACTGAGCTGAGTAGCTCTTTTTCAGTAGCGACCTGCCCATCACAAATGACAGCTCAACGAAAGTGGATTATTATCATCATCATCATCACCATCGCGTGGAAATCTATAGCAGCAGCCGCCAAACACTCTGAAACGCGTGGCGTCGATTCTAAACGTGGAGGGAAAAAACGGAGGACCTGGAGAAAAATCCACGCCGCCACGGGGAGAGAGACACGCAAACTCCAAATCTACAGCTGCAGCAGGCATCGTCAGGGTTGGGATCGAACCCACGCCCTCATGCGTACCAGGCGAGGTAGTTAACATCTCCTAGCCATCGTGATGATGATGAGAGAGAGACGCAAACTCCAAATAGACAGCAGCAGGCATCGTCAGGGTCGGGATCGAACCCACGCCCTCCTGCGTACCAAGCGAGGTAGTCAACATCTCTTAGCCACCGTGATGATGATAGAGACACACAAACTCCAAATATGCAGCAGGCGTCGTCAGGGACGGGATCGAACCCACGCCCTCCTGCGCACCAGGCGAGGTAGTCAACATCCCCTGGCCACCGTTGACGCTAACGATCCCTCGCGGTCTTCCAGGGACGCTGCAAAGTCGGCGCCGGCGTTTGGAGACCGCAAGTGCTACCAGCTTCCTCCCGGGGCCAGGGGCCTCGCCCTGCGGGCCGTGGTGAGACACAAAGACAAAGGCTCCCCCCCCCCCCCCCCCACACGGCGTAGCCTCTAGCACGCCGTCGGGGCAAGTGCTGTTAGCGAGCAGCAGCAGCGGTGCCGGTGAGGGCCGGCACGGCGCACGAAGAGTTGGTGGGTGGCCAGCGTCGCGCCCGCCCGCCCGACCACCTTTGTCTCCCCCGGCGGCGATGCTTCCTACGCGTGCACCGCGCCGGGTACCCTCGGTCGAGGCCGAGTCGAACCCGGGGCAGCGGTCGGCAAAGCGAAAATAACGAGAAGAGAATTTATATAATCCGGCAGTGGGACAGCTGGGACAGCTGGATTATGTTTTTTTCCGCCTGAGGACGACCGCTTGTGTTGCGATCGAAACGTCGTCGATTTAATTTAATTTAAAACCCACGTGACTTCACCGAAAAAAAAACTAAGAGTAAGAGAATTAACGTTTTCGAATTTGGCGAAGCCAACCTCTCACAATGAGCCGCAACGCGATGTGAATACGGAAGACGGACGGGCCGGCGGTGGTGATGGCGGTGGCGGTGGTGGCGGTGGCGGTGGTGGTGGTAGTAGTAGTGGTGGCGGTGGCGGCGGTGGTGGCGGTGGCGGCGGCGGTGGTGGCGGTGGTAGCGGTGGTGGTGGTAGCGGCGGTGGTGGCGGTGGTGGTGGTGGAGGTGGTGGTGGTAGCGGTGGCGGTGGTGGTGGTGGTGGTGGCGGTGGTGGTGGTAGTAGTAGTGGTGGTGGCGGTGGCGGCGGTGGTGGCGGTGGCGGCGGCGGTGGTGGCGGTGGTAGCGGTGGTGATGGTAGCGGCGGTGGTGGCGGTGGAGGTGGTGGTGGTAGCGGTGGCGGTGGTGGTGGTGGCGGCGGTGGTGGCAGTGGTGGTGGTGGCGGCGGTGGTGGCGGTGGCGGCCGTGGGCGGGAATTGAACTTGGGCCATGGCTGGGTTCGTAGCGCAGCGCGCTATCCACTGCGCCACCGTTCCCCGTAGCGGCGCGTGGTCTGGCAAGAGGCACCATGCCGGCCACCTTGTCTCCCCCGTGAATCCCGGCGACCAGAGTTCCATTCCCCGCTCACAGTGGCGACGGTTGGAACCGGTGCCAGGGCAACGGCTAAGTCGACTCAGCCTCAAATGAGTACCCGGTGCGGTGTGTAGTAAACATCGCCGCTGGGGAGACAAAGGCGGCCGGGCGTGGTGCTGGCCACCCACCCCCTCGTGTGCCGTGCCGGCCTTCATAGGTGCTCGCTAACAGCACTTGCCCCTACAGTGTGTGCGTGTGTACGTGACGTGTGTGCGTGTGTGCGTGACGTGTTTGCGTGTGTGTACGTGACGTGTGTGTGTACGCATCGTGTGTGTGTGTACGTGACGTGTGTACGTGGTGTGTGTGTGTGTACGTGACGTGTGTGTGTACGTGTGTACGCATCGTGTGTGTGTGTACACGTGACGTGTGTGTCCGTGTCGTGCCGCCATGTGGCAGGAGCGTGACGTGTGTGTGTGTACGTGACGTGTGTGTACGTGCCGCCGTGTGGCAGAAGCGTGACGTGTGTATACGTGACGTGTGTACGTGTGTGTACACGTGACGTGTGTGGCAGGAGCGTGACGTGTGTGTGTGTGTGACGTGTGTGTGTGTGTCCGTGCCATGTGTGGCAGGAGCGTGACGTGTGTGTGTGTGTACGTGACATGTGTGTGTGTACTCTGTGTGTGTGTGTGTGACGTGTGTGTGTACGTGACGTGTGTGTGTGTGTACGTGTGTGTGTGACGTGTGTGTGTGTACTCTGTGTGTGTACGTGACGTGTGTGTGTGACGTGTGTGTGTGTACGTGACGTGTGTGTGTACGTGCCGTGTGTGTGTGTGTACGTGTGTGTGTGACGTGTGTGTGTGTACTCTGTGTGTGTGTGACGTGTGTGTGTGACGTGTGTGTGTGTACGTGACGTGTGTGTGTACGTGCCGTGTGTGTGTGACGTGTGTGTGTGTACTCTGTGTGTGTGTGACGTGTGTGTGTGACGTGTGTGTGTGTACGTGACGTGTGTGTGTACGTGCCGTGTGTGTGTGTGTACGTGTGTGTGTGACGTGTGTGTGTGACGTGTGTGTGTGTACTCTGTGTGTGTGTGTACGTGTGTGTGTGACGTGTGTGTGTGTACTCTGTGTGTGTCCGTGCCGTGTGTGGCAGGAGCGTGACTTGTGTGAAGGGGCCGACGTGGTGATGGTGAAGCCCGGCCTGCCGTACATCGACATCGTCCGGGAGGTCAAGGACAAGGTGTGTGTACTGTGTGTGTACTGTGTGTGTACTGTGTGTGTACTGTGTGTACTCTGTGTGTACTGTGTGTGTGTACTGTGTGTGTGTACTGTGTGTGTACTGTGTGTGTACTGTGTGTGTACTGTGTGTGTACTGTGTGTGTGTACTGTGTGTGTACTGTGTGTGTACTGTGTGTGTACTGTGGTGTGTACTGTGTGTGTGTACTGTGTGTACTGTGTGTACTGTGTGTGTACTGTGTGTACCTGTGTGTACTGTGTGTACTCTGTGTGTACTGTGTGTGTGTACTGTGTGTGTACTGTGTGTGTGTGTGTACTGTGTGTGTACTGTGTGTGTGTACTGTGTGTGTGTACTGTGTGTGTGTACTGTGTGTGTACTGTGTGTGTGTACTGTGTGTACTCTGTGTGTACTGTGTGTGTACTGTGTGTACTGTGTGTACTGTGTGTGTGTACTGTGTGTGTGTACTGTGTGTACTGTGTGTACTCTGTGTGTACTGTGTGTGTGTACTGTGTGTGTGTACTGTGTGTGTACTGTGTGTGTGTGTGTACTGTGTGTGTGTACTGTGTGTGTGTACTGTGTGTGTACTCTGTGTGTACTCTGTGTGTACTGTGTGTACTGTGTGTGTGTACTGTGTGTGTGTACTGTGTGTACTGTGTGTGTGTACTGTGTGTACTGTGTGTGTACTGTGTGTACTCTGTGTGTACTGTGTGTGTGCTGTGTGTGTACTGTGTGTGTGTACTGTGTGTGTGTACTGTGTGTGTACTGTGTGTGTGTACTGTGTGTACTCTGTGTGTACTGTGTGTACTGTGTGTACTGTGTGTGTGTACTGTGTGTGTGTACTGTGTGTACTGTGTGTGTGTACTGTGTGTGTACTGTGTGTGTACTGTGTGTGTGTACTGTGTGTGTGTGTACTGTGTGTGTGTGTACTGTGTGTGTACTGTGTGTGTGTGTACTGTGTGTGTGTACTGTGTGTGTGTACTGTGTGTGTGTACTGTGTGTGTGAGTACTGTGTGTGTGAGTACTGTGTGAGTACTGTGTGTGTGAGTACTGTGTGTGTACTGTGTGTGTGTGTACTGTGTGTGTGTACTGTGTGTGTGAGTACTGTGTGTGTACTGTGTGTGTGTGTAGAGGTGATACGCGCTGGGATGGGGGATCGTATGCCAGCGAGTAATGATTGGCTGTGTATGTGGCGACGCGCGCTGACGGTGGAGGATCAGGGGTCAGCGCGGGGTCGTGGGTTACGGGGTAATGATTGGCTGTGGGCCGGTGACGCGCTGAGAGGGAGTGACCGGGTGGCAGCGCGGTGTGATTGGCGGAGTAGCGTTAACACGCGCTGGGGAAAACGGATCGTAGAGAGAGTGCGTCGTGATTGGTTCACTAAGGAGCGATGCTCACGTCGACGTACGCATCAGCTCCGTCTCTCGTGAGCAGGGGCTATAAAAGGGGATGCACACAGGCGTGAGGGCAGTGTGTAACCAGCGAAGAATGAAGACGGGGATGAAGACCTAGGGCCCTGCGGTACCTAGTCCCGCTGTCCTAACGGGACCGGGACTCTGTGTAACCCAGAGGCGAGTGTAGTGTGTGTAGCCATAGGCATAAGGTCTACACGAGCCGAATGCATTGTGTGTAGCCAGGGACATAGGGTCTACACGAGTCGAGTGTATTGTGTAGCCAGAGGCATAGGGTCTACACGAGTGAAGGGTATCGTGTGTAGCCAGAGGCCTAGAGTTTACACGAGATTAGTGGAGTGTGAAGTCGGAAGAAAGGAGACCACACGTTGTATTTTGACGCGTAAAGATTTAATAAAAAGTGTGTTCCCGACAAGAAGTTCCTGCCGTCAATTCCCATACTTCATGTGTACTGTGTGTGTGTGTACTGTGTGTGTGTGTGTACTGTGTGTGTGTAATCTGTATGTGTACTGTGTGTACTCTGTGTGTGTGTGCTGTGTGTGTGTACTGTGTGTACTGTGTGTGTACTGTGTGTGTGTGTACTCTGTATGTGTACTGTGTGTACTCTGTGTGTGTGCTGTGTGTGTGTGTACTGTGTGTACTGTGTGTGTGTACTGTGTGTGTGTACTCTGTATGTGTACTGTGTGTACTGTGTGTGTGTACTGTGTGTGTGTACTCTGTGTGTGTGTGTGTGTACTGTGTGTGTGTACTCTGTGTGTGTGTATTGTGTGTGTGTACTCTGTGTACTGTGTGTGTGTATGCTGTGTGTGTGTACTGTGTGTGTGTACTCTGTGTGTGTGTACTCTGTGTGTGTGTACGTACTCTGTGTGTGTGTACGTACTCTGTGTGTGTGTACGTACTCTGTGTGTGTGTACACTGTGTGTGTGTGCTGCGTGTGTGCGTGCGTGCTGCGTGTGTGCGTGCTGCGTGCAGTACCCGCACACGCCGCTGGCGGTGTACCACGTGTCGGGAGAGTTTGCCATGCTGCACCACGCGGCCTCGCACGGAGCCTTCCAGCTGCGCTCCGCAGTCATGGAGGCGCTCACCTGCCTGTCGCGTGCCGGTGAGGAGCCAGGGGGAGCCTGGGGGGGGGGGGTGAGCGAGAGTGGGGGTGAGTGAGCGAGTGAGTGAGCGAGTGGGGGTGAGTGAGCGAGTGAGAGCGAGTGAGGGTGAGTCGGGGTGAGTGAGATTGAGTCGGGGTGAGTGAGCGAGTGGGGGAGAGTGAGTCAGGGTGAGTGAGTGAGTCAGGGTGAGTGAGAGTGAGTGAGCGAGTGGGGGTGAGCGGGTGAGTGAATCGGGGTGAATGAGGAGCAGTGGTGTCGTGGCTAGCGTGCCACACTTTGAATCCGGTGAGTCGGGGTGAGTGAGTCAGGGTGGGCGAGCGAGAGTGGGGGTGAGTGAGCGAGTGGGGGTGAGTGGGGGTGAGCGAGCTAGAGTGGGGGTGAGCGAGCGGGGGTGAGCGAGTGAGTGAGGGTGAGTGAAATTGAGTCGGGGTGAGTGAATGAGTGGGGGTGAGTGAGTTAGGGTGAGTGAGTCAGGGAGAGCGAGTGAGTGAGAGCGAGCGAGTGAGGATGAGTGGGGAGCAGTGGTGTCGTGGCTAGCGCGCCTCACTTTGAATCGGGTGGCCCGGGTTCGATTCTCACTCCCGGCCAAACACCAGCGACGGTTATCTGAGCCGGTCCTGGGCCTACCACTACGTCGGCTCAGCCTCAAAAGAGCCACCGGGTTACGGTGCGAACACATCCGCCTGCCGCTGCGTCCTCCGTAGGCGCCGCTGGTGCGCTAACGGCACTTGCCCCGGCAACGTCCTGCTGGAGGCTACGCGGGGGATCTTTATCTTTGGCTGTGCTGCAGAGTTTGGTGGTACATGTTGTTTACGCCGTTTATTGTGAAAATTCGGTCACAGTTCCTATGATCGCTGTTTTCATTGCTTTTATGGCTTTATTTTGGTGATTTTCGAAAAGTTTTTCGGTTTGGCCATGTTTGTGTTGTTGTAGTACGGAGTTAGACTGACGGCCTTAATCTAAGTTGTCTTGTGGTTGTTGTTGTTGTTGTTTGACTTGCATCCCAATGGGATTTTTGCACACAGCGTTGGTGTACGATGCTTTTTCTGCAATATTTTGCTGTCTTTTCTTGGATTTTCTGTTTGCACATAGCAGAGGTTGCAAACGGGTTTTGATTCCTTACCCGTACCCGGCCGCACCAGGGTCGCAAACGGGTACCCGTACCCGGCTGGGTACGGGTAGCCAGGTACGGGTACGAGTACCCGATTGCGACCTCTGGGATGAAGCCATGTTGCAGGCGCGGGTGGGTTGATTCTCGTAACTTGAATTGTTAGAAGAGTCAAGACGTTGGGAAATGAGTGACAAACGGTGACTCACCGGTGACTCACGGCCTACCCGTACCCGTACCCGGCCTCACCAGGGTCGCAAACGGCTACCCGTACCCGGCCGGGTTACGGGTAGCCGGGTATCGGGTAGGGTACGGGTATCGGGTACCCGGTTGCGACCTCTGGCACATAGTCACTTTAAGATGTTTTCTTGTTTCAGTTTTTCTGTTTGTTGCGGTTGCACCCGATTCAAGAGCCGAATGGCTCACAGGGCTATGTACCTAACGCATGAAACTTGAAACGTACGGTGCGAAAGAAGTGCGACTTTGTAATTTAGTAAACAATTTTTTTGTGTCGTGTCCGCAGGTGCCGACATCATCATCACGTACTTCGTGCCCCAGCTGCTGGACTGGCTGCGTGAGGAGGCGTAGAAGGAGGAGAGGCGGCCACCGTGAACTCGCCCCGCGGGATTGGGACCGTCCATAAATGACGTCACGCACCTGGGGGGGGGGAGGGGGGCGGGGTCAGACATTTGTGACGATGTGTGACGTGGAGAGGGAGGCTTGTGTTGCCTCCGAAACGTCGTGATTTTTATTTTATTTTACTTTAATTAATTGGAATTTTTTACCTACATGGTGACTTTACCGAAAAACCTAAGAATATGAATCCTTGCAGTCACGAAAGTTTCAAATCTAGAAAGTCGGAGGTGGGGTTTGAGAAATGTGACGTCTTACATCAAAATGCGCAACTTTAAATAAATGAATATAGACAACACGTTCTACTTAATTAAATGGACTTTTTAATAAATGTTTTCTCCTGCAACATCAGAGTGCAGCGCTACATTAAATACGCACTACAATGACAATAGTTTAAAGCGATTTGAAGCATTTCGATTTAAAGCTTTCGTGACTGCAGGGATTCATCTTCTTGGTTCTTTCGGTAAAGTCACGTAGAAGGGAAGTAATAAAATAATAAAAATAAAACATAATAAAATAATTCTCACGACGTTTCGGCAGGACGGCTGCTTGCGTTGTGGCCGAAACGTCGTGAGAATTATTTTATTATGTTTTAATTTTTATTATTTTATTACTTCCCTTCTACGTGACTTTACCGAAAGAACCAAGAAGATTTGAAGCATGTTTTTTTTTTGGGGGGGGGGGGGGCAGAGTTTTGTGACGTCATTTGAGGGGGGGGGGGGGGTCAAAAATGGTCCAAAATTGCGTGACGTCATTTATGGACGGCCCCATTCCTCATCTAGCAGCGGAATGATGATGGCTCATGGTGGTGGTGGTGACTCGGGGAGGTCTTCATGCAGTCGTGGATTGATCGTGGTCGATTAATGTCACGTGGTGCATGACCGAGTTCAAACTTGACTCTGTTCTATCGTAGACACTAACAGGTTATCTAGCAGGGCTCACCTATTTACTCTAATGTTTAATCTGCACTAATTACTCACGTTTTGTTTGATTATCCTCACGAATTGCAAGGAAACTGAAAAATGTATCGGAAACTGAATATTGAAATAAAAACTTATCAATCTGAAGAGGCCGTAGTCACGTGACGCTTGATTGAAATGGGCTTTTTTCTGGCCGAGTGGATCTAGAGTTTGGCCAGCCTGCATAGGGAATTTTAAATGTTACCGAGAGCCAATCAGCGGCGAGGGGCGTGGTCAATCTGACTTGTCAACCAATCAGCGTTAAGTGGGTGGAGCTTTAACTTCCCCCCGCCCACTAAAAGGGGGGGGGTGGCTAAAGATTGCCACGCCCACTGGCCCCCTCCAGCCAATCAGCGTTAAGTGGGTGGAGCTTCAATGCTTTCCCCCGCCCACTAAGAGGGGGGTGGCTAAAGATTGCCACGCCCACTGGCCCCCTCCAACCAATCAGTGTTAAGTGGGTGGAGCTTCAATACTTTCCCCGCCCACTAAAAGGGGGGGTGTGGATAAAAATACCACGCCCACTGGCCCCCTCTAGCCAATCAGCGTTAAGTGGGTGGAGCTTTAACTCCCCCCGCCCACTAAAAGGGGGGGTGGCTAAAGATTGCCACGCCCACTGGTCTCCTCCAACCAATCAGCGTTAAGTGGGTGGAGCTTTAACTTTCCCCGCCCATTGGTCCCCTCCGGCCAATCAGCCGCCGCAATTATTTGAAAGAGAAATAATAACACCGTGACCTTACAAGGAGCATTATAATTGACGTTCCCGACAATGGGCCCTTATAACACACGGGATGGGCTATTGACTGAACAAAATATATTTACATTGTATAGAAAGTTATATTATACTGTGCATTTTTGTTGTAACGTTGGTGGATGTTATTTTATTATTATTATTTAAACGCAGCCCTCACACCGCCCCCCCCCCCGTGAACCTCCAGTGGCGGGAACTTAAACCGACTGACTGCCCCGCCCCATCTGGGTCCCTCTCATCCAATCACAGCGGCAGAGGGCCGGGGGGGGCGGGGCCAGGGGTAAGGCAACCCCCACCCCACGCGCTCGTTTCCCGCGTCTCGTTTCCTCACCCCCCCCCGCCTCGGCAACACCGAGTCGACCAATCGGCGCCGAGGGGGGCGGGGCTTCGCGCGAGGCGCCGACCAATGGGAGCGCGAGTTGCCCCACCTGCGCGCGCGCGCGGCCGAAGTTTCCCGCGCGTTTCTCTCCCCCCGCGGGGGGGGGGGGGGCCCTCCCCACCCCGTTTTTTTCCCGCCAAATTTCAAAGACGAACCGTCATGGCGGCCTGAGAGTGTTGTCGAATTAAAAAAAAAAACTCCTGAGGGAGATTTTAAAAATAAAAAAAACCTGAGGTAAACCATGTCCCCCCACGTTCAGCCTTGTTTCCAACTGCTTCGCATCGGCGCGCCGGCGTCTGGCCACGGCGTGCGCGACCTCTACACGTTCGTGCCGGGCGGCGAGCGCTGCTCGGCCGATCTGGGCCGCGCTGAGGGCCGCGTCCACGTTTGCCTTCGCTCGGCGTCGCGGCCCGCGCTGCTGTCGCGTCTCCACGCCTCCCTCACGGCCGAACGCTGCGGCAATGGTCGCGGTGCGGGGGCGAGGAGGTACCGGGTCTACATCACGGACCACAGCTCCAGCGGTGAGCGAGCGGTGTGTGGCGTCGTTGTGGTCAACGCCGCGCTACCAACTCGGCCTACCAACTCCACTAAAACTCCACCGATCCTGTGGGCGTCCTCCTCCCCTAGGTCGACTCGGCCTCAAACGAGTTCACCCGGCGCAGTGTGTGTTGTGTGTGTTAGAAAGCATCGCCGTAGAGGGAGACAAAGGCGGCCGTGGTTTCTGGCCACCCACCCCCGCCCCCTCGTGTGACCACAGCGCTACTAACAGCACTTGCCCCTTCTGTTAGAGGCTACCTGGGGGACCTTTGTCTGTGTGTAGCTGCTGCTACTCTCTACTGACAGCACTTGCCCCTGCAGTCTGTTAGAGGCTACCTGGGGGACCTTTGTCTGTGTAGCTGCTGCTACTCTTCACTAACAGCACTTGCCCCTACAGTCCGTTAGAGGCTACCTGGGGGACCTTTGTCTGTGTAGCTGCTGCTACTCTTCACTAACAGCACTTGCCCCTGCAGTCTGTTAGAGGCTACCTGGGGGACCTTTGTCTGTGTGTAGCTGCTGCTGCTCGTCACTAACAGCACTTGCCCCTGCAGTCTGTTAGAGGCTACCTGGGGGACCTTTGTCTGTGTGTAGCTGCTGCTGCTCGTCACTAACAGCACTTGCCTCTGCAGTCTGTTAGAGGCTACCTGGGGGACCTTTGTCTGTGTGTAGCTGCTGCTACTCGTCACTAACAGCACTTGCCCCTGCAGTCTGTTAGAGGCTACCTGGGGGACCTTTGTCTGTGTGTAGCTGCTGCTGCTCGTCACTAACAGCACTTGCCCCTGCAGTCTGTTAGAGGCTACCTGGGGGACCTTTGTCTGTGTGTAGCTGCTGCTGCTCGTCACTAACAGCACTTGCCTCTGCAGTCTGTTAGAGGCTACCTGGGGGACCTTTGTCTGTGTGTAGCTGCTGCTGCTCGTCACTAACAGCACTTGCCCCTGCAGTCTGTTAGAGGCTACCTGGGGGACCTTTGTCTGTGTGTAGCTGCTGCTGCTCGTCACTAACAGCACTTGCCCCTACAGTCTGTTAGAGGCTACCTGGGGGACCTTTGTCTGTGTGTAGCTGCTGCTGCTCGTCACTAACAGCACTTGCCCCTGCAGTCTGTTAGAGGCTACCTGGGGGACCTTTGTCTGTGTGTAGCTGCTGCTGCTCGTCACTAACAGCACTTGCCTCTGCAGTCTGTTAGAGGCTACCTGGGGGACCTTTGTCTGTGTGTAGCTGCTGCTACTCGTCACTAACAGCACTTGCCCCTGCAGTCTGTTAGAGGCTACCTGGGGGACCTTTGTCTGTGTGTAGCTGCTGCTACTCGCTACTAACAGCACTTGCCCCTGCAGTCTGTTAGAGGCTACCTGGGGAACCTTTGTCTGTGTGTAGCTGCTGCTGCTCGTCACTAACAGCACTTGCCCCTGCAGTCTGTTAGAGGCTACCTGGGGGACCTTTGTGTGTAGCTGCTACTCGCTGCTAACAGCACTTGCCCCTGCAGTCTGTTAGAGGCTACCTGGGGGACCTTTGTGTGTAGGTGCTGCTACTCGCTACTAACAGCACTTGCCCCTGCAGTCTGTTAGATGCTACCTGGGGGACCTTTGTCTGTGTGTAGCTGCTGCTACTCGCTACTGACAGCACTTGCCCCTGCAGGTCTGTTAGAGGCTACCTGGGGGACCTTTGTCTGTGTGTGTAGCTGCTGCTCGCTACGAACAGCACTTGCCCCTGCAGTCTGTTAGAGGCTACCTGGGGGACCTTTGTCTGTGTGTAGCTGCTGCTACTCGTCACTAACAGCACTTGCCCCTGCAGTCTGTTAGAGGCTATCTGGGGGACCTTTGTCTGTGTAGCTGCTGCTACTCGCTACTAACAGCACTTGCCCCTGCAGTCTGTTAGAGGCTACCTGGGGGACCTTTGTGTGTAGCTGCTACTCGCTACTAACAGCACTTGCCCCTGCAGTCTGTTAGAGGCTACCTGGGGGACCTTTGTCTGTGTGTAGCTGCTGCTGCTCGCTACTAACATCACTTGCCCCTGCAGTCTGTTAGAGGCTACCTGGGGGACCTTTGTCTGTGTGTAGCTGCTGCTACTCGCGACTAACAGCACTTGCCCCTGCAGTCTGTTAGAGGCTACCTGGGGGACCTTTGTCTGTGTGTAGCTGCTGCTGGCTACTAATAGCACTTGCCCCTGCAGTCTGTTATAGGCTACCTGGGGGACCTTTGTCTTGGTGGTGACACCGCGGCGCTCCGTGCCAGGCTAGGTGCACGCGTGAGGCTCGCTGCTGACGGAAGGCCACGGGTTGTGTGCACCTAGCCTGGCACAGGCGCCTGGACGTCTGTGCGAAAGAGCTTCATAGCTCATCGGATTCCTGCGGTGGAAATAAATATTCTGATCGAAAGTGCACCTAGCCTGGCACGAGCGCCGTGGTGACACGAATGGAGATCGTCGTCGTCGTTGTTGCTGCTGCTCGCTACTAACAGCACTTGCCCGCTGCAGTCTGTTGAGGCTACACGGGGGATCTTTGTATGCGTGTGTCACCATCGTCATCATCCATGCTCTGACATTGCAAGCCGAATGCATCCGGCCACTGACAACAACAACACTCCGTCAACACGTAAACAAAAAATGACGTTTAGAATATATAACCGACGACGTTTCGGGCAACGGTCCTTCATAGCACACACAGAAATGACTGCATTGCTACGCGGGGGGTGAGCGATGTTATTATTTTTGAGGCACAGTTTGGCGAAACTGGGAGGGCACGGGTCAGGCGCGGCCCCGGTGAGTGACTAATGCAAGTTCAGGTTGATGTTATTGTAGCCAGGGTCAGAGCTCTTCTCTCTCAAGAGAGAGCGAGAGGCAGGGTCGATGAGTCTCGTTTGCGTGAGCGAGTGGGTGAATGATCTGAGCGAGTGGGTGAATTATTTGAGCGAGAGGGTGAATTATTTGAGCGAGTGGGTGAATGATTTGAGCGAGTGGGTGAATGATTTGAGTGAGTGGGTGAATGATTTGAGCGAGTGGGTGAATGATTTGAGCGAGTGGGTGAATGATCTGAGCGAGTGGGTGAATGATTTGAGCGAGAGGGTGAATTATTTGAGCGAGTGGTTGAATGATTTGAGCGAGCGGGTGAATGATTTGAGCGAGTGGGTGAATGATTTGAGCGAGTGGGTGAATGATTTGAGCGAGTGGGTGAATGATTTGAGCGAGTGGGTGAATTATTTGAGCGAGTGGGTGAATTATTTGAGCGAGTGGGTGAATGATTTGAGCGAGAGGGTGAATGATCTGAGCGAGAGGGTGAATGATCTGAGCGAGTGGGTGAATGATTTGAGCGAGAGGGTGAATGATTTGAGTGAGAGGGTGAATGATTTGAGTGAGTGGGTGAATTATTTGAGCGAGTGGGTGAATTATTTGAGCGAGTGGGTGAATTATTTGAGCGAGTGGGTGAATGATTTGAGTGAGTGGGTGAATTATTTGAGCGAGTGGGTAAATGATTTGAGCGAGTGGGTGAATTATTTGAGCGAGTGGGTAAATGATTTGAGCGAGAGGGTGAATTATTTGAGCGAGTGGGTAAATGATTTGAGCGAGAGGGTGAATTATTTGAGCGAGTGGGTGAATGATTTGAGCGAGAGGGTGAATGATTTGAGCGAGAGGGTGAATTATTTGAGCGAGTGGGTGAATTATTTGAGCGAGAGGGTGAATGATTTGAGCGAGAGGGTGAATGATTTGAGCGAGAGGGTGAATGATTTGAGCGAGAGGGTGAATTATTTGAGTGAGTGGGTGAATGATTTGAGCGAGAGGGTGAATTATTTGAGTGAGTGGGTGAATTATTTGAGCGAGAGGGTGAATTATTTGAGCGAGAGGGTGAATTATTTGAGCGAGAGGGTGAATGATTTGAGCGAGAGGGTGAATTATTTGAGCGAGAGGGTGAATGATCTGAGCGAGAGGGTGAATGATTTGAGTGAGAGGGTGAATGATTTGAGTGAGTGGGTGAATGATTTGAGCGAGAGGGTGAATTATTTGAGTGAGTGGGTGAATGATTTGAGCGAGAGGGTGAATTATTTGAGCGAGAGGGTGAATGATTTGAGCGAGTGGGTGAATTATTTGAGCGAGAGGGTGAATGATTTGAGCGAGAGGGTGAATTATTTGAGCGAGAGGGTGAATGATTTGAGCGAGAGGGTGGCGCGGAGTGGCGGCGACGCAGCGAGCAGCTGGACATTGGGATCCCGTCGAAGTCGTCCGGCCTCACGTCCACCTGGGGTCAACACGAGGCGGACGGGGGGTAAGGGTAGATGGGAGACGAGGGGTGGGGAGAGGAGGTGAGGAGAGGAGGTGGTGGAGGAGGTGGAGGGAGAATAATGAAGGAGCAGGAGAGGGAAGACTAAACTTAGTAAAAATGTTTCAATATATACATACTAAATCTTGATTTAAAACTTTGCGTGACTGCAGGGATTCGTATTCTTGGTTCTTTCGGTAAAGTCACGTAGAAGGGAAATAATAAAATAATATTAATATAATACAATATTTTATTATTATATAACATATTATTTTATTATTTCCCTTCTACGTGACTTTACCCGAAAGAACCAAGAATATACATGCATACTGTATATAGCGATACAACATGTCTGGTCTTCCATAACACTGGTCAACACACTTTTACGGTAATTTTGGGGTGCTGATTCCAAATCTGTCATCAGTTTTTGTTTATCACATCACTCACTATCGTGTCTCTGCGCGTGCCGCGTGTCTCTGCCCAGGCACCGGTACGAATGAGTAACGTGTCTCTCTCTCTCTCTCTGCGTGTGTCCCTGTGTCTCTGCCCGCATCCCTGTGTCTCTGTGTGTACAAGCGTGAGTGTAAATCATCGCTGTGTCTCTGGGTGCTGCCGTGTCTCCGCTTGTGTTTCCGTGTCTCGGTTTGCGTGCAGGCATCGGTGTGATTGATCACCGTGTCTCTGCGCGTGCCGCGTGTCTCTGCGTGTGCAGACACGAAGTGTCAACGATCCCCCGTGTCTCTGTGCGTGCCGCGTGTCTCTGCCCAGGCACCGGTACGAATGAGTAACGTGTCTCTCTCTCTCTCTCTGCGTGTGTCCCCGCGTCTCTGCCCGCGTCCCCGCGTCTCTGCGTGCGCAGGCACGAGTGTGAACGAGCGGCGAGTGGAGCGGGGGCACCGGGTGGAGCTGCACGATGGAGACACGGTGTTGCTGGGCCCCGCTCAGACCAACGCTCGCGGCGCCGACTCAGAGTTCCTCTTCCTGTTCCAAAAGGTGCAGAGATTCCTCCTCCTCATCCTCCTCCTCATCCACAACAGAACACAACCACCACCGCCTCTACTTTTATTCGCGAAATTGGCGATGAAAACAAGAGCAGCGCTTGATGCTCTGCCGGATCGCCTCGTTCATCTTGCCTTGCGACAGAGGTCACAAACGGGTTTTGATTCCTTACCCGTACCCAGCCGCACCAGGGTCGCAAACGGGTACCCATACCCGGCCGTACCCGTACCCTACCCGTACCCAGCCGGGTACGGGCAGGGTAACGGGTATCGGGTACCTGATTGCGAACTCTGGGATGAAGCCACGTTGCAGGCGCGGGTGGGTTGATTCTAGGAACCTGAATTGTGAGAAGAGACAAGACGTTGGGAAATGAGTGACAAACGGTTACTCACCAGTGACTCACGGCCTACCCGTACCCGGCCGCACCAGGGTCGCAAACAGGTACCCGTACCCGGCTGGGTACGGGTAGCCGGGTATCGGGTAGGGTACGGGTATCGGGTACCCGGTTGCGACCTCTGCCTTGCGACGGGTGTCTAGGATTAATGGAGAGCGGTGGTGCAGCGGTTAGCGCTACGTTGCGCTACGAACCCTGCAAAGACTCAAGTTCGATTCCTGCTCACGGCCGCCACCATCAACACGAGTGATGATCAATTATCTGAACCGGTCAAATGAGTATCTGGTCCGGTGTGCAGTAAACATCGCCACTGGCCGAGCGGGCTAGGTGCTGGCCACCCACCCCCTTGTGCTTAGTGCTGGCCTCCATAGGCGCTGCTGCTACACACTAACAGCACTTGCCCCAATTGCTTGTTAAGGCTATACGGGGGATCTTTATCATTGTATAGGATTAATATAGGTTACAATGATATAGGATTATGGAAGACCAAACATGTTGTATCGCTAGACAGTATGTATGTATATTGTTGGTTCTTTCGGTAAAGACACGTAGAAGGGAAATAATAAAATAATATTGTTATTTAGTAATAAAATAATATTTGATTGCTTTATATCAATATTATTTAATTATTTCCCTTCTACGTGACTTTACCGAAAGAACCAAGAATATGAATCCCTGCAGTCACGCAAAGTTTTAAATCGAGATTTAGTATGTGTCTATTCAAACATTTTTAAATCCTTTATATTAAGTTCACTTGCTTGCTTGCTTACGCGCTTACGACCGTGCAAATCTTTTGGTCGTTTTTTAACCCACTTCCCGTGATCAATTGAGCTGACAATTTATTTTCGTGAAAATTTTTTTTGCTAAATTTTCCACTTTTTAGGAAAAAAAAAATGTCATATTTAATTTAAAATAGCAATGTGATAAAAATGAAACTCTTACTCAAGAAAAACAGAAATGAATAATAAAATAAAACCGATGCCACGCATATAAAGGATTTATAGTGAAAAACTTTGTTTTTACGGGTTAATTTTTTACTAAGTTCAGTCTCCCCTCTCCTGCTCCTTTATTATTCTCCCTCCTCCACCTCCTCTTCACCTCTCTCCCCACACCTCTCTCTCCTCCCTACCTCCAGCTATCTCCTCCCCTACTACCCATCTCCTCTCTCCTCACCTCCTCTCCCCACCCCTCGTCTCCTATCTACCCTTACCCCCCGTCCGCCTCGTGTTGACCCCAGGTGGACGTGAGGCCGGACGACTTCGACGCGATCCCGATGTCCAGCTGCTCGCCGCGTCGCCGCCACTCCGCGCCGGCCACGCCTCCCGCCACGGCGGCGGCGACGCCCCCGGCCCCGGCGACGCCGGTGACACCGACGCCGGCACCGCCGCCACGCGCCCTCATCCTCACCTCCATCGGCAGCATCAGCAAGCTTCAGGCATCCTCGCTCACCTACCACCCTGGTCGCGGCGTCAACGGCGCCGCCGCCGCCGCCACTCCCGCCGACCCGGTGGGCCACACCGACTCAGCCGGCACGGAACAGCAGCAGCAGCAACAGCAGCAACAGCAGCAGCAGCAGCAGCGTAGGCAGCGGCCGGCTTCCGAGTCGGGTGAGTGTGGCAGTTTCACCGGAGGGGTGGCGAGTGGTAACCGCCGAGGGTCGTGGATTCACAGCGTCGGTCGGTGCGATTCGCCGGTGGCCGGCGGTGCCGTGGTTGCACCGTGCGTAACCACGAACGTCGGCACTCGCACCATTGCTGACACCACCGCATCCTATCGCCAGAATTTTCGCTCACCGCGATGCCTGACACCAGAGGTCGCAACCGGGTACCCGATACCCGTACCCTACCTGATACCCGGCTACCCGTACCCGGCCAGGTATGGGTAGCCTTTTTCGACCCTGGTGTGTTCGGGTACGGGTAGGCCGTGAGTCACTGGTGAGTCACCGTTTGTCACTGATTTTGGCTAGGGTACGGGTAGGGAACGGGTACCCGTACCCGGCCGGGTACGGGTACCCATTTGCGACCCTGGTGCGGCCGGGTACGGGTAAGGAATCAAAACCCGTTTGCAACCTCTGCCTGACACTAATTGTGCGCACGGACGCTACCCCAAGCGCTGACACTAACATAACCCATACACTGACACCGAATTCCTATCACTCACACCACCATTACAACTACCCCACACACACCACTTCTATCACTACTATTATCACTATTACAGGCACAGTCCCTTCATACTAACACTGACACTAACACGTAACACTAACAGGACCCCTAACAAACACTACTTCCACTACTAACACTAAGACTACCTCCAACACTTCCATAACCCAAACACTTATTAATGACACGACCCCAAACTCCTTTCACTAACACCACCACCACGATAAGTACCACTCGCAACACTCCTATCACTACCACCATCTCCTAATACGACCCCTAACACTATCACTAGTCATAACACACTATCACTACCCATAACACTGTCACAACACATTAACACTACACCTTACACTATCACTACTCATAACACATTAACACTACCCATAACACTTTCACAACACATTAACACTACACCTTACACTATCACTACCCATAACACTGTCACAACACATTAACACTACACCTTACACTATCACTACTCATAACACATTAACACTACCCATAACACTGTCACATCACATTAACACTACCCCTTAGACTATCACTACTCAAACACATTACCACTATCACTATCCCGAACACCAACTCCATTCTCCTACCAGTAACCCTAACACGACCACCCCTCTCCCCCCTCCTCTGCCCTCCCACCCCCACCCCCCGCACGCACAGACCCCCTGCTGGCGCCCCCCCGCAAGCGGCAGCGCAAGCCGGTGCACACGGTGCGGCGCGACCTGGACACGGAGGTCACCGCCAGCCGACCCCACCGCGACCTCCGCTGCCCAGAGGTCGCGGTGACCCGGAGGCTCCTCTCGGAGGGATTGTCACGATCGCCGCCGCCGTCGTCGTCGTCGCCATCGCCGCCACCGTCGCCGCGGTCTCGCTCCTCGTCCGACGATGATGATGAGGACGACGATGAGGACGACGGTGACGGTGCCAGTGGTAATGACGAGGAGGAGGAGGAGGAGGTGGTGAAGGAGGAGGAGGAGGAGACGATGGAGGGACGGGGTTGGGAGCGGCGCTTGATGGAGTCGCGCACAGCGGGATGTGGGGGGGGTGCGGGGAGACCTCAGGGGGGGCGCGGAGCCCACAGAGGAAGTGGAGGCGCCAGGAGGAATGCTGGGAGCTGCCAGCGCACCACCGGAACTGGGTAAGGGTGGGGGGTGGGTCGTAATGGCTGTGCTGGGAACACCGCACTCGGCCTGGTCACAACCGACATGCAATTCGACTCTTCACTAAGTCTTCACCTGTTCACCCGCCCGCCGCTTTCACTCGCACGCTTATTGGTTCACTCTCAACTTGCTCGCCCAACCCAACCACCCTTCACTCGTCCGTTCACGTGCTCACCCACTCGTCATCGCACGCTCAGCACGCGCTCACTCGCTCACCCCTGCACCGTGCCCCACTCACTCGTTCACTCGCTCACCCCTGCACCGTGCCCCACTCACTCGCTCACTCGCTCACCCCTGCACCGTGCCCCACTCACTCGCTCACTCGCTCACCCCTGCACCGTGCCCCACTCACTCACTCACTCGCTCACCCTTGCACCGTGCCCCACTTACTCGCTCACTCGCTCACCCCTGCACCGTGCCCCACTCACTCGTTCACTCGCTCACCCCTGCACCGTGCCCCACTCACTCGCTCACTCGCTCACCCCTGCACCGTGCCCCACTCACTCGCTCACTCACTCACTCACTCGCTCACTCACTCACTCGCTCACTCACTCGCTCACTCACCCCTGCACCATGTCTCACTCACTCACTCGCTCACTCACTCACTCACTCGCTCACCCCTGCACCGTGCCCCACTCACTCGCTCACTCGCTCACCCCTGCACCGTGCCCCACTCACTCACTCACTCGCTCACCCTTGCACCGTGCCCCACTTACTCGCTCACTCGCTCACCCCTGCACCGTGCCCCACTCACTCGTTCACTCGCTCACCCCTGCACCGTGCCCCACTCACTCGCTCACTCGCTCACCCCTGCACCGTGCCCCACTCACTCGCTCACTCACTCACTCACTCGCTCACTCACTCACTCGCTCACTCACTCACTCACTCACCCCTGCACCATGTCTCACTCACTCACTCGCTCACTCACTCACTCACTCGCTCACCCCTGCACCGTGCCCCACTCACTCACTCACTCGCTCACTCACCCCTGCACCGTGCCCCACTCACTCGCTCACTCACTCGCTCGCTCGCTCGCTCGCTCGCTCACTCACTCACTCACTCACTCCTGCACCGTCTCCCACTCACTCACCCCTGCACCGTGCGACTGACCCCTGACATCTCAGGAGACCGCGCGGCCGCCCCAGAAAGAACTCCTCTCCACTGGCGGCGCCGGCGGCGGCGGCGCCATCGCCGGCGTCGCTCGCCAGGACCCCAAGTTCTTCCTCCAAGACGGCGCCGTCTCCCGTCAGCGTCCCCAAGTCGCTCGCCCGGCCGCCGCCCGTATCCCTCGGCTGGAGCCTCTCCGGCAGGGCCCCGCCGCCGTCGCTCGCGGCAACGGCGGCAAAGAGCCCAGCGGCGTCAAGGAAAGCTGTGGCGGCCGTCAGGAGCCCTGTCGGAGCGGCGGGGGCGAAGGACGCCGTGACAAGCACGGCGAAGGACGCGGCCGTGCCTGCGCGCGGTTCGGTGTGGAACACGGCGAGGGGCCTTGGCGGTGGAGGCACGGTTGAAGAGGAGGACGAGGAGAGTGACGAGGAGGAGGAGGGGGCGGTGGCCGCGGCGGCGGCGGTGCCTGTGGTCGCGGTGGGGGGGGGCGGCGGGGAGGCTTGCGCCGCGCGCCGCTGCCTGCGCCCGCAGGATGAGACGCTGGACTGGGTGCAGTGCGACGCGTGCGACGCCTGGTTCCACATGGCGTGCGTGGGATACCGCCCCGAGCACGGGGACTTCCACTGTGGGTGCTCCTAGCGAGGGCCGGTGGTGGGTGGGTGGGTGGAGGAATGAGTGAGGGAGTGAGGGAGGGAGGGAGTGAGTGAGGGAGGGAGTGAGTGAGTGAGGGAGGGAGTGAGTGGGTGAGTGAGTGGGTGAGTGGGTGGGTGAGTGAGTGGGTGGGTGAGTGGGTGGGTGGGTAGGTGGATGAATTAGGGGGTGAGTGGGTGGATGAATTAGTGGGTGAGTGAATGAGTGAATGAATAAGTGGGTGGTGAGTTAGGGGTGGATGGGTAAGTGAGACGGTGAGGGGGTGGGTGGGTGAGAGTGGGGGGGGGGAATGAGTAAGTGGGTGGATGAGGGAGTTAGTGAATAAGAGAAGGGGTGGCCGAGTGAGTGAGGGGTGAATGAGTGAAGGGGTGGGTGAGTAGGTGGGTCGATGGGTACAAACACAGACATGGAGGCAGAGTGACACACAGACATTAACGCACACGGTGTGATTGAATTGGTGAGTGCATGAGTCTGGGCGATTGCGTGTCAGAGACAACGCTGCCATGGTGGGTACCCTGGCAGTGAGCACACTTAGACAATGTACACTCACACAGGCGGTGTCGTCTTGACGACAGTGTTGCCATTGTAACAACGGCGCTCGTCAATGTGTCTAGAACAGGGGTGGGGAACCTTTTTTTCTGCCAAGTGCCACTTGGATATTTATATAACATCATTCGCGGGCCATACAAAATTATCAACTTCAAAATTAGCCCGTTATATTTGGTCAAACGTTTCATTAACTCACCCATAATGCGATGGCTGGAACTGCTTCTCTCTGGCGAGGCGTGTGATGATGTTAGCTGCTGGTGTTGATGATGTTGTTGCTACTCGCAACTGCTTTTCCAGGTTTGCTCCTAGAATTATTGAATTTCGAGTCCCGTCTGCGGTTGCCTTGGCAGGGCCAGACCCAAATGATTTCGCGGGCATCATACGGCCCGAGGGCCGGACGTTCCCCACCCCTCGGCAATCATATTCACAAGGCTCCTGTGTGTTGACATGTTTGAGCCCCTTCTGTTTTAAAGGAGTTTAATTGGGGAGTAGTGGCGCAGTGGTTAGCACCCTGCGCTACGAACCCCGCGACCCGAGTTAGATTCCTCCCCCCCCCCCCTCACGATCGCCACCGGTGACGATTATCTGAATTGTTCGTGGGGCCTCTGTGCGAGTACCTGGTGCAGGGCTAAATTGTGGGAAGCATGGAGTAGCGAAATCCATTGTACTGTTCGCTTACGTATGCTCCCCGTCTTCAGCGATCTGCACTGACCAGCGTGGTGAAGTGTGCTCAAGTGACATCGCACGCCAGTCGATGGACAAGAGGCTGGATGTGTACGGGGAGGGATGATGTCGAGGGTTTGTGTAATGCATCTTTCTTAATCCCGTTCCAAATGTTATCGCCACGAAAGTTCCCGTGGCGTTTACCGTATTATCCAGATCACAAGATGTTCTAGAAATCAAGACTCGGTGTCATTAAAACTATACAGATCTGGTCTCACACACACAGGTGCACTTAAATACTTCACACTCAAAAGTGCAAGATTCCCCGGTTTAGCCTCAACAGACTTGGGGCACGTGCTGTTAGTGAGCATCGATAAATAGCGGCACGGCACACGAGGGGGTGGATGGCAGAGGTCGCAACCGGGTACCCGATACCCGTACCCTACCCGATACCCGGCTACCATTACCCGGCCGGGTACGGGTAGCCGTTTGCGACCCTGGTGCGGCCGGGTACGTGTACGGGTAGGCCGTGAGTCACTGGTGAGTCACCGTTTGTCACTCATTTCGGGTAGGGTACGGGTACGGGTAGGGTACGGGTACGGGTACGGGTAGGGTACGGGTAGGGTACGGGTACCCATTTGCGACCCTGGTGCGGCCGGGTACGGGTAGGCCGTGAGTCACTGGTGAGTCACCGTTTGTCACTCATTTCCCAACGTCTTGTCTCTTCTCACAATTCAAGTTCCTAGAATCAACCCACCCGCGCCTGCAACATGGCTTCATCCCAGAGGTCGCAACCGGGTACCCGATACCCGTACCCTACCCGTACCCGGCAGCTGTTCTAGACTAATTTCAGGGTGCCGATTCCAAATCTGATCTCAGATTTGCTCTATCACATCTCATTTTTATGCTATCGGCATCACCCATTTTTATTGATTTTACCCGAAATTAACTCTCACTTATGATTGCAAGTTGTTGCGAGTCAGTGACTGCTTTAGTGTTAAAATATGGTGCTGTATTTTTAGGATAGTGTGTTTATAATATCATTTTATGTAGATATCCACATTTATTTAATATTTTTCTTCTGCAGTTTTTATTGAAAATGCAATATTTGATATCTCAAAAACCTGATGTGATAGACAAAAACTGATGCCAGATTTGGAATCAGCACCCCAAAATTACCTTAAAACCTTTGGAATACCTTATGCCAGACAAAAGTGTGACCAGTTTCGATTTAAAGCTTTCGTGACTGCAGGGATTCATCTTCTTGGTTCTTTCGGTAAAGTCACGTAGAATGGAAATAATAAAATAATAACAATTAAACATAAAATAATTCTCACGACGCAAGCAGCCGTCCTCTCCACCTGAGGACGGCTGCTTGCATTGTGGCCGAAACGTCGTGAGAATTATTTTATTATGTTTTATTTTTATTATTTTATTACTTCCCTTCTACGTGACTTTACCGAAAGAATCAAGAAGAAGTGTGACCATTGTTATTACTCCGACCAGGCTGGTCCTGAGCTTTCACTTAACCCGTCTCCACTGGCCTCTTTGTCCCTTAAGCCACAGTCCACGCTTGATAGATCATTGTGCAAGAGCTGAATGGCTCTCGAAGTCAATAGCGCGGCTTCTACATCGCCAATAGCGCAGCTTGTAAATCGTCAGTCGCCCTCGACTGCTTTGCCCGCATCTGAGCGAGTAGCTGCGCGACAGTAGAGTAACTTTCGATTTAAAGCTTCTTTCGTGACTGCAGGGATTCATCTTCTTGGTTCTTTCGGTAAAGTCATCACGTAGAATGGAAATGTTACTCCTATCCCCTCCCTTTGTTGCTGCTAATCCTGCAAAATGCACGGGCATAATGACTTTAAACCCCCCGCCATAACCTCCTACGCATTTCACAAGTAGTACTAATCGCATATCTGCATTTGCCATAAATATGCTAAATTCCTCTTGATATGCAAATTACTTTGTCAAGGCGCCCTTCCCCCCTCCATCCCAGCTTAAGTAGTCGCTCCAAGCCTGAAGTGTCATTCAGACTCTGTCTACACGACAGACCTGTTCTCCACCTGCGGACGGCTGCTTGCGTTGTGGCCGAAACGTCGTGAGAATTATTTTATAATGTTTTATTCTTATTATTTTATTATTTCCCTTCTACGTGACTTTACCGAAAGAACCAAGAATATCTGAACACATCTTAACATCTTAACTTAACATCTTAACAAAAGCTTAACATCTGAACATCTTAAAACACGATTTAAAGCTTTCGTGACTGCAGGGATTCATCTTCTTGGTTCTTTCGGTAAAGTCACGTAGAAGGGAAACAATAAAATAATAAGACGCTGTCTTTCCGACAGACCTGTTCTTCACCTGAGGACGGCTGCTTGCGTTGTGGCCGAAACGTCGTGAGAATTATTTTATAATGTTTTATTCTTATTATTTTATTATTTCCATTCTACGTGACTTTACCGAAAGAACCAAGAAGATGAGTAGGGTAACGTGTTGCACAACGGGTCGCGCACATATTGGGACGATTCAATTGGCCGTTTGACTCGGCTTACATAGTCCTGTGTGAGTAGGGCGGCAATCTCATCTGAGGACAGCAGATAGTACCAGAGAGAAAGAGAGAGAGAGATGAGG